GACCAGCCTGAGCAACAGCAAAACCACATCTCTACTAAAAATAGAAAAAAAAAAAAAAAAAAAAGAAGCTAGCCAGGCATTGTGGTGGGTGTCTGTAGTCCCAGCTACTTGGGAGACTGAGGCAAGAGGATCACTTATACTCAAGAGTTTGAAGTTGCTGTGAGCTGTGACACCATGACGTTACTGAGGATAACAAAATGAGACTGTCTCAAAACCCCCCCCAAACTTCTCACAAAATAAATGCTTCTAATTTGATCATGCACAGAATCACTGGAAGGGCTTATTAAAAGTGTAAATCTCCACTTGACGCCTATAACTCAAGCAGCTAAAGCGCCAGCCACATACACCACAGCTGGAGGGTTCGACTCCAGCCCGGGCCCGCCAAACAACAATGACAACTACAACCAAAAAATGGCCAGGTGTTGTGGTGGGCACCTGTAGTCCCAGCTACTTGGGAGGCTGAGGCAAGAGAATTGCTTGGGCCCAGTTGGAGGTTGCTGTGAACTATGATGCCAGGGCGACAGATTGAGGCTCTGTTTCAAAAAAAAAAAAAAAAGTGCAAATCTCAGACCACCTAGGAAACTATTTTTTTTTTTTTTTGCAGTTTTTGGCCGGGGCCGGGTTTGAACTCGCCATCTCTGGCATATGGGGCTGGCGCCTTACTCCTTTGGCCACAGGCACTGCCTTGAAATTTTTTTTTTTAGAGACAGAGTCTCACTTTATTGCCCTGGGTAGAGTGCTGTGGTGTCACAGCTCACAGCAACCTCCAGCTCTTGGGCTAAGGCGATTCTTTTGCCTCAGCCTCCTGAGTAGCTGGGATTACAGGCGGGCACCCGCCACAACACCCGGCTGTTTTTGTTGTTGTTGCAGTTTAGCCAGGGCCAGGTTTGAACCTGCCACCCTCAGTATACGGAGCTGGCACCCTACTCCCTGAGGCACAGACACCGCCCATGGAATTTTTTCTTTTTTTTTAAGAGACTTGGTTTTGATCGGTTACCCAAACTGAAATGCAGTGGCACAATCAAAGCTCCCTGCAGCCTTGAGTGCCTAGGCCCAGGGGTCCTCAAACTTTTTAAACAGGGGGCCAGTTCACTGTCCCGACCATTGGAGGGCCAGACTGTGGGCCCTGGAACGAGTTAGCTGCTAAGCAGGCCAGGCAGCAGTGGCAAAAACACCCGGCAGGCTAGATAAATGTCCTAGGCAGGCTGCATGTGGCCCGTGGGCCATAGTTTGAGGACACCTGAAGGCTCACACGCTCCTCCCACCTAAGGCTCCTGAGCAGCAGGGAGTAGAGGTGCCATCGGGCCCAGCTGATTTTTCTTGGCATTTGTAGGGAGGGCGTCTCACTGTGTTTCCCAGGTTAGTCTCAAACTCCTGGGCTCAAGCAATCCTCTCCCTGTAGCCTCCAATCCCCATTGTGCTGGGATTACTGTGAATCCCTGTGCCTGGCACCTTAGGAAATTTGAACCCTGATGGGATAGTCAGTATTTAGGAATTATTATTGAATTTTAGGAGTGTCTATGGTATCGTATTTGTGTGTATGTGTATGCATATATATGTATGCAGTTGTATATATAGAGGGTGCCAAAATATATATATACATTTTAAAAAAGGAAAAAAAATTGTATTAAAATTGTAATATTCAAGTCACATTTTATTTCTGCAATTACAAGAGATACAAGATGCAAGGTAGCAAACATTATTGGTGTATGTTGAATATCACAATTTTAATACTTCCCTTTCTTAAAATATGCATATATATTTCCGTACCCTCTGTGTGTGCATATATATGTGTGTGTATATATATATATATATATATCCTTATCTTTTAGAAATACATTCTGGAATATTTTGAAAGAAATAATACGATATGGCTCAGTGCCTGTGGCTCAGGTGGCTAAGGCGGCAGGCACATACACATAGACATAAGGTGGCGGGTTCAAATCCAGCCCAGGCCTGCCAAACAACGATAGTTGCAACCAAAAAATAGCCAGGTGTTGTGGCAGACACCTGTGGTTCCAGCTACTTGGGAGGCAGAGGCAAGAGACTTGCTTGAGCCCAGGAGTTGGAGGTTGCTGTGAGCTGTGATGCCACTGCACTCTACCCAGGGGGATAGCTTGAGGTTCGGTCTCAAAAAAAAACCACACAGAAATAATACGATACGTATATATGGGATTTGCTTTTAAATAACCAGGGGTGTAGGGGAAGTGGGTGGGATCCAGATACTGAATTCAACAGTTGTTGAAGCTGAGGGACGTGTACATGAGAGTTCCTGATAAACTACCCTCTGTACTTTTGTAGTTGTTTTCATTTGTCTGTATTAAAGAATAGAAATGCAAAAAGCACCCCTTCATTTCTGAGCTTTCAGCAGTACCCCAGGTGGGTCCGTGCAAGGGTGGTGTGTGCTCCCCAGTGAAGCCAAGCTTACTGATGTCAACGTAGGTGGCTGTCGCGGTCACCCTGAGCCCAAGAAACCCATCTAATGGGGTCACCCTGCTACTCCCCATCCTCTGCCAAATAGGTAGGATCCTGGGAAGATGCCCTGGCTTTGGGCCACATGAAGAGCGGAAGTTATTCCATTTATTTTCCCTTAGGTGTTTTTGAATAATAGCTATTGATTGGCAAGTGAACTTATATACTTTTTTCCACAAAACTATTTTTAAACTTTAGCTCATTTGTACCACTTAAAGGAGTGCTTGGGTTTGCTTAATAGACACATCCGAACATCATCTGTAGGGTCCTTGTAAGACCTCAAGGAATCTTGAGCCCAACCCTGAACTACACTGAGGGGCAAGTTATTTTGATTAGGAAACAAAGTCACCTGCTCTTCTGGTGGGGACTGCAAGGTCATGGCAGAGGGCACAGGTGGGGCGGGGGTTGAGCAGGCTGGCCGGTGGGGCAGGTTTGTCCTGGCCCACAACAGGCCTGTGTTGATACAACAGAGCTGCCTCTGTGGCTCAGCTCTGTGGGCGCCTGGGGAGGACGGTGCTGCAGCAGGGAGGGCAGGGCGGCCACCTGCGGAGCCACCAGCCCCAGGCCACTTGCAAGCCTCAGCGAGCTCCCTACTCAGTACTTGGGGCAGGGAAGTCACTACCTGCTCCAGATCCCAACTCAGGACCGGCTTGGATGCAGCTGGGGTAAGCAGAATCTCTAGACTGGGCTTTGGGGTTAGGTGAAGGGAGTATGTTGTGTCTCTTGTCTATGAATCCCCTGCCTCAGTCACCAGAAAGGACAGTAGGGAGGCTTTGGATTCATCTTGGTGTCAAAAGGAGCAAATAGAGGACTGATGATATATTTTTCAGGGAGTTAATGGGGGGGATGATGTGTATCCTCTAGTCAATAAATGGGTAACGCTTTGGGGGTACTCACTTTGTGGTCATCTTGAACTGGACGGGGGCGGGAGTGGAAAATATGGCACTGTCCTAACCTCACGGCCTTACCACTAGTGGGGAACGCACGCTAGTTAAAGAAGCAGTTGCAAACGACTGCTATGTAGGAAGGGGCCTTTGCTCTCTGGGGTGCTGGTGACAGGTGGGGAAGACTTGTGGGGAAAGGGGTCCTTACCTGAGACTGCAGGAAGGCAGGGCGGGTGGAGGGTGAGGTGGAGGTGGAGAGGCTGAGGCTGAGGGAAGACGCAGGTCCTGAAGTGGGAGGGAGCAGGGGACACACACAGGGTCTCTGGAGAGCTGGGTGGGGACATTTGGAGCTCCAGGAGGAGACAGATCCTGCAGCCTATTGTTGGTTGGCTCTGGTTTTCACACTTTGTCCTGTTGGAACCTGGATTCAGAGACTGGAACACGGGACAGACAGCATCTGGTACACTGTAGACACTCTCACCTTATAAAGTGAAATCTGCCTGGAGTCTGGTGGTTCTCCCTGGAGGCTGACTTCGGGTAAGCAGTCTGCTTGCCTGTGACGGGAGGGGAGTCTGGCTGCCCCTGCCCCTTGCTTTCACATGGTCTTCAAGGCAGCCGTTGGAAAGATCTTCACTTTCTTCCAGCCCCTGGGAGGGGTCTTTCCTGCCATCTGTTCTGACAGTTGAGGCTGTTCCCTGGGCAGTATGACTTGGTCTGTTTGGGAGTGGAGAAATGTACAGGAGTCAAAAACTGCCACACCTCGCAGTGTGGAATGCGTTTTATCTGCCTTGCTGGGTGGCCTCTGATGCACCTGGGCTCAGCGCCTGGCCGTGTGTGTGGCTGAGGATGGGCCGTGGCATTGCTTTGCGCCCCACGGGGTTAGTTGCTCTTCTCTGTTTTCAGTTAAACTCTGGACATGCACCTGCTAGAGCATGGCAGATATTTTATTATATTTGAGTCTGTATGTCTGAGATCCCCTCCCAGGAGTGTGAGTCTTTGTCTTTTTATTGTATCAGCCGTGTCAACTCATCCTCATGCCTGTGTGGTGGAACTCTGTCTTATAGGGGCAGTTTTGGCTGACCTGACTTGCAGGCCCACCCCCACCCCACATGGGTATACCAAGGACATACAGGTTTATTTCATTTTTGCTGACTACACAGGGGTGTGTTGTATCAGTTTATTTAATCATTCCCCTGGTGATGGATATGTAGGTTAAATCGATTTGTTACAATCATTTTATACAATGTTATAAGAAATGTTCTTGGGCATCTACTTTTCCGTCCAGATCTAGGTTTGTCTGGATAAATAGCAGTGGAGCTGTTGGGTCTTGGGTATGAATAATGCCAAGTTTGACAGATATTGACAAATGGCTCTCTGAAACTAGTGAGTGTATGAAAGGACCCACCTCCTCATACTTGTACCCTCCACAGCCTTTAACCATATTTGTGCATCTTTTGCCAGTCTGACAGAGGATGAGAAGTGCTAGCTTGTTTTGTTTATATGTTTAAAATAAGAGGGATTCCTGTTGGATTTTTTTCCTGTTACATTTTAGTTTAACTGAAAAAAATTTCATCTTAAGGTTTTTATACATTTATCAGCTTTTTTTTTTTTTTTTTTTTTCCTGCAGACCAAGGCTGGGCCAAGATGGCGTCTGTGTTTCGAAGTGAGGAGATGTGCTTGTCCCAACTGTTTCTCCAGGTGGAGGCAGCGTACTGCTGTGTAGCTGAGCTCGGAGAACTTGGATTGGTTCAATTCAAAGATGTAGGTACTGCATTCTTTGGAGATAAGAGGAAGGTGGGGGTGGGAATGGACAACTCTTTCACAACACTTTCTGGTCATGAGCAAAATCCATTCTGTATGTAGGACAAGGATCGCTGAGCTGGAATAGATGGGATTTGGTAGTTCTGATCCTTCTGGCTAGAATCTGCAATGATTTGCGAGTCATCTGCGAACACGTTCTCTCTCCCTTCATGCCTATGTCCTCCAAGGAATGCTTTGAAGCTCTGAATGGAATTTCTACATGGTAGATATCACTGTGTAGATATCACTGTACACTTATTTCCTGTGTAGCATCTTCAAATACTGGATATATTGAATATGCATATGGATTAACAAACCTTGTTCTGAGGACCAAGAAAACCTATTTTTCCTGAAAAGGCAGGTTGAGAACCAAGCGTTCTGGAGTCCATAGTTGGCAGTGAAACCCAGGACTGAGTTCTGGAATGACATTCTAGGGATAGACTGTCTCAAGTTTGCTGCTGCAGCCGTTCTCAACCTGTGGGTTGTGACTCACAGGAACTGTATTAAAGGCTCGTGGCATTAGGAAGGTTGAGAATCACTGTGCTAGAGTATCATTTCCCAGGGGCGGCACAGAGCCTCACCAACCTCTTGTGGAGTCCAGTTTAGAAATTCAGTTACTCCTCTTTATTTCCTCATCACGGTCATGGTTAAAGCTAAGCTCCTTCAGGGAAGGATCATGTCTTATTCTTTTCACCCCTAGTTTCCAGCACAGGACCTGACATGACGCAGGTCTTCCATAACATTTATTGGGCTGAGCCTACAGTCCCCAATACAAGAGTTGGATTTTTGCTGATGACTGTGATATATTCCATGGAGCTGTGCGATTTTCAAGGGCCAATCCTCGTCTTGACCCCCTGAAGATTTAGAGGCTGATGTGGACAGCCAATGCAACTGGAAACAAGAATAATTTAGAATTGAGAAGACTTGTTTCTTCTAGCAGTGGGAGGGCAAGACTTGAGGCATTTGGGGGATTGTGTTTAAGAACACCAAGGTGTGTTTTGCCTACTACTCGCCTGTCTTGTGCACAGAAATATCTGTTCCTAAGGTAGTTCCAGCAACATTCTCGAGCATTAAAAAGATAATAAATCTTCAAACAAGTACTCCTTGAAAATTAAAAAATAGATGATAAAATAACCAAAAGGAATGACTATATCGACTGCTGTGGCTACTAATGTAGGCCTTGTGTTTTCCCCTCCTAGTTGAATGTGAATGTGAACAGCTTCCAAAGGAAATTTGTGAACGAAGTCAGAAGATGTGAATCACTGGAGAGAATCCTTCGTAAGGCGATTTTTTTGCTTACTGTTTAAAGGTGAACTGGCAAGGGGGTGTAAATAGTTTGCAGGACTTAATTAGCAAATGTGTCACTATTTATAATACTTTTTGAGGTGATCCTGAAGTGGGTGGGGGAGGTTAGGGATGGGATCTGGGTACTCTGGCAGCAACGAAGGCAGCTGAGCTGAATGGCATGCACCTGTCTTGCTTGACCTAATTTTTCTAGTGATGAGAAAACACAGTCACCTTGGGCTCTCTGGTGGGGTTTCATCCCTCAGGTTTTCTGGAAGATGAGATGCAAAATGAGGTTGTAATTCAATTGCCTGAGAAGAACCCCCTGACCCCTCTCCCTCGGGAAATGATTGCCCTGGAGGTAAGTCCTTTTCACTCTGCTGGTGAAGGACAGCCACAAAGCCTGTGTCCTTGAAAGCTCTGAGAGCCACTCACAGAGCCTTTATCTGGATGCTGAAAAGACAGAGGTGGGTTTGTGTGACTGTCTACTTTTCAGTGTTACTCCAGGAAAATCCCAATGTGCAATTTTTAGAGTGACCCCTACTAGTTCAAGGAGAGGGTTTTTCCCTTTTCTTTCTCAACACAGCCCTAGGGAAGCTCATCCCAGTTGGAGGAGTGATTTCTTTTGTACATATACAGGCAGTGAAGTCAATCTCCTAGAACAGTGGTTCTCAACCTTCCTAATGCCTCGGTCCTTTAACTCTGTTCCTGTGGGTCGTGATCCACAGGTTGAGAACCGCTGTTCTAGAGGGAAATGTTTTGGATTTTATCATATTAATATCTGTGTATTTGGGCCAGGTGCCGTGGTGTACACCTGTAATCCCAGGTAAATGGGAGGCTGGCAGTGGTGGGGGGAAGGACTGCTTGAGCCCAGGTGTTCAAGTCCAGCCTGACAACATAGCAAAAACCTGTCTAAGAATGAATGAATGATTTTTAAACACTTATAAAATCTGGATATTTGAGGAGAAAACTATTAACCAATGTAAGTGGGACCTCCCCCAAGCCATGCTGATTTTCAGTCTTATCCCTAGTCTTCTGTGCCAGCCCTGTTAGTTCAGCAGCCTCGCTTACCCTCATCCTTTCCGTTACCTTAATACCTGCACCTGGTCGTGTGGCTATGAGGCGTTGTTCTGGCTTAGGCTTTTGCCTTTCTCTCTGAGTTAGAGCTGAAGTTGTCTAGCCTTTCCAGTTTTCTTCCCCATTCCACTCTCACCTGTCTCCTACCACTGGGTTAATTTCTGTCGTGGTATTGCTCTATCTCGCCACTCTCCTGCTTAAGAATGTGCAGTGGCTCCTGTCACCTGTCAGCTCCTAATCTGAGCACCAAAGCCACTATCACTGTCCTGTCCTACTCAGGTCCTCCATTCTCCTTGGGCTTATTCCCACCAGACTGTTCCGTGCTTGTCTCGTGCATTTCTCAACTCCAAGCTCCTGCTCTGCTGTGTCCTGGCCTGGAGTGCTTTTTTTCCTGGGCACCACCATATTTTTCTTTTCTTTTCTTTTTAGCAAGGCAGTGACTAATTAAGTCACTACACCACATTTTTCTAGTCTAATCCTGCCTCCAGATACCCTTTAATTCCCATCTCTTCTGCACACTCTTCTCTGACTATACCACCACAAATAAGTTCTCATTTCTCAAGATTTCCGTTGTTGTCAATGTGATAAATTATGTAAAGGTAATCAATATCACATTTTCATAACTTATCTCTAATTCAATAGTTCCCAAGCTTCATGGTCTCAGGCACCTTTATATTCTGTTTCTTTTTTTTTTTTTTTTAGACAATGTCATTCTGTTGCCTCAGGCTAGAGTGCTGTCACATCATAGCTCACATCAACCTCAAACTCTTGGGCTCGAGCAATCCTCTTGGCTCAGCCTCCCAAGTAGCTGGGACGGTAGGCATGGACCACCATGCCCAGCTAATTTTTTCTATTTTTGGTAGAGGTAAGTCTTACTCTTGCTCAGGCTGGTCTCGAATTCCTGAGCTGAAGCAATCTACACATCTCAGCCTCCCAGAGTGCTAGGATTATAGGCATGAGCCACAGTGCCCAGCCACCTTTATACTCTTAACCATCATTGTTGGGGATTCCAAAAAAGTTTATGTGGGTTATGTTTACTGTTATTTATTGCATTAGGAAATTAAAATGGGGAAAATGCAAAGCATTTATTAATTTATTTGAAAATAATATCTCAATACATTTTAGCTTTTTTTTTTGCAGGTTTTTTTTTTTTTGGTCAGGGCTGGGTTTGAACCCGCCAACTCCAGTATATGGGGCCAGCACTCTACTCCTTTGAGCCACAGGCGCTGCCCTGTTTTCGCATTTTTTTTTAATGAAAAATTCTTGTCTTTTCCAAAACAAAAAATTTCAGTGATGGGAACGGTATCTGCAAGTTTCTTAGGTGTGCTGTCTTAACTAGAAGACAGCTGTTTTCTCATGTCTACTTCCACTTTGAATCTGTTAGCAACACGTTGTTTTCATTAAATATAGAGAGCTAATCCAGCCTTATACAGACAGGTGGTTGGAAATGGGAGTAATATTTTAATAGCTATAGCCGGGCGTTGTGGCGGGCACCTGTAGTCCCAGCTACTCAGGAGGCTGAGGCAAGAGAATTGCCAAAGCCCAAGAGCTGGAGGTTGCTTAGCTTTGACAGCACAAGAGCTGTGACGCCAAGGCACTCTACTGAGGGTGACAAAGTAAAACTCTGTCTCTACAAAGAAAAAAAAAAAAATATATATATATATATATATACACATATAGATATGTATGCATATATTTTAATGGCCTTTTAAAATAATTGTGACTATTCTTTAATCTTAACATTGAACTTGACAAGCACAGAGACTTTCTTGGCTTTTTAAATAGGTATCAAGTGTTTTAGTTTCCAAACTTAGTGACATGCTTTAAATAGTACCTTTATAAAGCAATTCATCCAACTAAGTTGAGGTTGGGCTGACTAGTTTAATTCTGTATTTCGTTTTAAAATTTTTTATTTATTTTTTAAGACAGGGTCTCACTCTTTTGCCTAAGCAGTGGTGTTATCATAGCTCACAGCAATCTGAAACTTGCAGCCTTAAGTGATCCTCTTGCCTCAGCCTCCTGAGTAGCTGGGACTAAATGTAAGTGACACTATGCCCAGCTAGTTGTTTTTACTTTTGGTAGAGACAGGTTCTCACTATGTTGCCCAGGCTTGTCTTAAACTTCTGGCCTCAAGTGGTCCTCCTGCCTCAGCCTCCCAAAGTGTTAGGCTTATAGGTGTGAGCCACCTTGCCATTCCTCCAGAATGCCCTCTTCAGTATTTTATAAAGTCTTCTTTGACAATGCCAAGGTACACACATTTTAGGATTCACCGTTCTAGCTTTACAATCCTTGATTTTGTCTGATATTAATAAGCTTGTTGAGGGGCAGAGCTAGTATTTGAATGGATATTATTTTTATTGTTTTTTATGTTTTTGATAAGGATGTTTCTTAGATGGAATAAAAAATATTTAACATGATGATCTCTTTTTTAACAGGTGACCTTAATCCGTTTCTGTTTATTGCGATTGCTGATTCGCTGGCTTTTGGGTGACCTTTTGCTTTGTTCCTTCCTTTCCTGCCTTTCATCATTTTATTTCTTAAGGTTCCATGTTGTTTCATGGTTATGAAATTAATTCATTTCCACTGCCATGTAGTGTTCTTGTTATTGAATATAACACATTTTATCCATTGTCTTCTTTTGGTGGACATTTGAATAAGGTTTTTTTTTTTTGAGACAGAGTTTCACTATGTCGCCTGTGGTAGAGCACAGTGGTGTCACAGCTCACAGCAACCTCAAACTCTTGGGCTTAAGCCAGGGGTCCTCAAACTTTTTAAACAGGGAGCCAGTTCACCGTCCCTCAGACTGTTGGAGGGCTGGACTGTGGGCCCCAGGACGAGTCGGCTGCTAAGCAGGACAGGTAGCAGCAGCAAAACACCCAGTGGGACAGATAAATGTCCTAGGCAGCCCGCATGTGGCCCGTGGGCCATAGTTTGAGGACCCCTGAAGCAATTTTCTTGCCTTAGCCTCCCAAGTAGCTGAGAATACAGGTGCCTACCACAACACCCAGCTATTTTTAGAGATGAGGTCTTGCTCTGGCTTAGGCTGGTCTCAAACATAGGAGCTCAGGCAATCTACCCACCTTGACCTCCCAGAGTGCTAGGGTTGCAGACGTGAGCCCCTGGACCCAGGCTTTTTTTTTTTTTTTTGAGACAGAGTCTCACTCTGTTACCCTGGCATCATCATATCTCACAGCAACCTCAAACTCTTGGGCTCAAGCAATCCTCTTGCCTCAACCTCCCTAGTAGCTGGGACTACAGGCATCTGCCACAGTGCCTGGCTAGTTTTTCTATTTTGTAGAGTCAGGGCATTGTTCTTGCTCAAGCTGGTCTCCAACTCCTGAGCTCAGACAATCCACCTGCCTCGGCCTCCCAGAGTGCTGGGATTACAGGAGTGAGCCACGGCACCTGGCAATATTTTTAAATTATTTATTCAATCTCACTATTGCATTCTCAAATTCTGGCCGGTATAGAGTTGATCTCATCTGTTAGGTTTTGAATTTCAATAGCTCTATTTTACATTTTTAAGATTTCTAGATGCAATGGTACATTTCAAAACTATTAAGAAATGAGTATAGTGCTCAGCTCCTATAGCTCAAGTGGCTAGGGCACCACCCACATACACCGGAGCTGGCAGGTTCAAGCCCAGCCTGGGCCTGCCAAACAATGACAGCTACAAGCTAAAATAGCCAGACATTGTGGTGGGTGCCTGTAGTCACAGCTGCTTGGGAGGCTAAGGCAAGAGAATCGCTTAAGCCCAAGAGTTGGAGGTTGCTTTGAGCTGTGATGCGATGGCACTCTACCCAGGGGAGTATAGTGAGACTCTGTCTCTAAATAAATAAATAAATAAATAAAATAAGGAAATGAATATAATTGTGATGGATATGTTACTTAGTTCAATGTAAGCATTTCATATTGTATATCAAAGCAGTACCCTGAACCCCATAAATGTATCAATGTACAAAGTTATGCTTTAATAAAAAAATAATAATTACAAAATTTCTGAATATTTCTCTCTTTCTATCTACCTGTTATTTTATTTTGGGACATGTTTAACACTTCCTATGTTTCTTTTTAGAAGCAATGCCTTTATCTCTTTAAATATTCTTTTTTTTTTTTAGCCAGGACTGTGTTTGAACTGGTGCTCTACCCTTTTGAGCCACAGGCACCGCCCTCTTTAAATATTCTTTAAAAAACCTTTAAAACCTTGTTCAGAATACTCTGTGATATTAATTTACCCCAACATGATTCTGTGTTCTGGCTCGCTGTCTATGGCTCAAGCGGCTAAGGTGCCAGCCACATACACCTAAGGTGGTGGGTTCGAATCCAGGCTGGGCCCGCCAAACAACAATGACGGCTGCAACCAAAAAATAGCCAGGCGTTGTAGCAGGCACCTGTGGTCCCAGCTACTTGGGAGGCGGAGGAAGGAGACTTGTTTGAGCTCAGGAGTTGGAGGTTGCTGTGAGCGTGATGCCACGGCACTCTACCCAGGGGGACAGCTTGAGACTCTATCTCAAAAAAAAAAAAATGACTCTCTGTTCTGGCTGTTGATTTTGGTGGTGATCTTTCTTACTGTTTATTTCTGCATGAGTCTGGTTCTGTGTGTGCTCCCTGTGAAACGTAGATTGGTTTGTTGTTTGATCCCCTGCCTGTGTCCTGTGCTCAAGCTCTTCTCAGTAGCCTTTTTTCACCTGGTTGTCCCTGGCTCTCCAGCTTCCAGTTTGGAACTGATGGCAGTTTGGAGGATTTTAATTGTATCCATCACTGAAATGTGTTTGGGGCAGAAGGAATTCTCAAGGTGTAATTTACTGTCTTCCGTTGGCAGGGTTTTAGGTGTTAAATGGGAAGGTTGGGAAGGGATTTGCCTCAACGCTTTGATTTCCCATGAAGCTGCCTGACACCGCCCGAGAGGCGTCCCCAGTCCTCTGCATCAATTCCAGGCCTCCAGCCAGTGTGTGCTGGGGCCCCAGCTTAGGTTCCAACAAAGTGTTGTCTATTCTGGAACAAGCCACTCAACTTCAAGTTGTATTATGTTGCACTGAAAACTCTTTTAGATACCTGTTGCCATTAATGTATATCAGGAATGTCGTAACACTTTCTGCCCTTCCGTCTGGCTAACCTTCTTTTTCCTTCCTGAACAGACTGTTCTAGAGAAATTGGAAGGAGAGTTACAGGAAGCCAACCAGAACCAGCAGGCTTTGAAAAAAAGCTTCCTAGAACTGACCGAACTCAAATACCTCCTGAAGAAAACCCAGGACTTCTTTGAGGTCGTTATTTGAGGATTATTCACTGGCGGGTTCTTTCCTCAGAACCTCAAATTTTCATTTCAAAAAAGGGCTGGTTTGGCATCTGAATAAATCACTTCGTGTTCCATGGCTAGCCCACTGGTGAGGGGGGAGAGAGTATTTTGGGTGGGATAACTGTGGTGCTGGTTGAACTGAAAGCAAAAATATGATGGAGCTCATTCAAAAATATGTGCTCAAATGTCCCAGACAGAAGAAGTCAGGACACAGCAGAGCAGTTAGTCTGAGCAGGTTTCATGTTGTCATAGCGAGAGAGTGGGGAAGGGTTTTGATCGGCAAGGAACGTTGTACTTTCTGAATTGTGCTGACTCTGGGGAATTAAGCAGCACTGAAACCAGACTGAAATAGTGGTGCTTTGACTTTCAGACGGAGACCAATTTAGCTGATGATTTCTTTATTGAGGATACTTCTGGTCTTCTGGAGTTGAGAACTGTGCCTACTTACATGACTGGGAAGTTGGGGTTAGTATGGCTTGGTGTCCTGAGAGTTATGTGTGGATGGTTCTCTCAGCTGGTACGTGGTGGATTTTTCCCTGAGTGAGAGAATGAATGAACAAATTGCCACCAACATAGCCACTGTTTCCCAGGAATCTAAGGTGTCCACAGAGGAGTAAACCCAAGTGTAACCGTATCAGGCTGGTGGAATTGAAGGTGGCATTACCACCTTGTGAGTAGCAGTGATGCTGATATTCTGGAGCCTGAAGAGTTCCATGTTTACTTTGCTTCCACACGGAGAGTCGTGGAGATGATGGTTATGTGGGTTTCCATAACTCCTCCCTGGCCTAGGGATAATGCTATGGGGATATATATTTTTCGCTTATCTTTAAGATACTATTTTGGTAATAAAATGCATTTGGAGTTTGCATTTGTAAGTATAATTAGAAATGGGATAGTTATGCAATCAAGTCATCCCCAACAAGCCGTTATATGATTTTTATACACATGGAAATATGTGTCGATTCAAAATGATGGGATTTCATTTTATGTCTAAAGGAAGTACATGAATTTTGAAGAAGCAATCCTGAAAGTTGTGAGTTTGGAATTTATAATTTTTTATTCAATGGATATTTGAGGACCTGCTATTTAAGGGTGTAGGCATTGAATTTGAAAGGAAAAGAAAAAAATGTTGATTGAGAATAAATATGTATATTTTTGAGACAGAGTCACGTTGCCAGGGCTAGAGGGCTGCTGTGGTGTCAGCCCAGCTCACTGCAACCTTAAACTCCTAGGGTCAAATGATCCTCCTGCCGCAGCATCCTGAGTTGCTGAGATTACAGGCATCTACCACAATGCCTGGCTAATTTTTCTATTTTTAGTACAGACAGGAGTCTTGCTCTTGCTCAGGCTGGTCTTGAACTTCTGAGCTAAAGGAATCCTCTTGCCTCTGTCTCCCAGAGTGCTAGGATTATAGGCATGAGCCACTGAGCGCAGCCTTGATTGAAATTATTTGATCAGAAGGTAATACAGGATCAGTGTACATTTAAAAAGTAATAAACCAATGAAAGTCACCACTTTGAGGCTAATGTGAAAAGTCTGAGTCAGCAATTACCTAAGTACCTAGATAGTGGGAAAAAATGGAGAAGCATAGACATCAATGTATTTGTTTCCCTCTTAGTATATTAAATTTTTCAAAATGCAGAGAGACCATTGTTGAATGTTTGCTCCCATTAGCTACAATGCTATTATGAATGGTCTGTCATATTTTAAATTGTGATTAGTGAATACATAGCATTGGGATGATTAAGGACACTTCACAATATCAAAGGAAACTGAAGGTCAGAGGCGCTTGGGGCAAGTCGGGGTGGTACCCCTGCGGGTGGAGCTGTGTTGGGATCTGTCCTGCTCCCAGAGTGAATGGTCCTTCATTTCCTGGCCCATCTTCACATCCCCCAGGGCCTTCTTCCTGTGTCCCAGTCCTTGTGCCTCAGCCATGTCTTCTCTCCTGACTGTCCAGGTTCACAGCCGGTGTAATAAACAGGGAGAGGATGGCTTCCTTTGAGAGGCTGCTGTGGCGAGTTTGCCGGGGAAACATCTACTTGAAGTTCAGTGAGATGGACACACACCTGGAGGATCCTGTCACGGTGGGAATCTCAGGCTGCAGAAAATTCCCTCTGAAATTTCTGATAGCCCTCACCAGAAGGGTTTCCCTCTCATAAAACATGGCGTCTTAGGTTTGAGGAAGCCACTGTCTGGTTCTTTTATTTCTCCTTTCTTTGCTTTCCTTTTCCTTTTTTTTTTTTTTTTTTCAATTTCAGATTAATCTGAGGGTACAAACAAATAGGTTACAATGTTTAGATTTGTTAGGTGAAGTCCCTGTGGTAGTTGTGTCCTGCACCCTGGAGATGTGCCATATACCCTTATATTGTGCCCTGTAGGTGAGAGAACATCAACTCTCTCTCCCTCTTCTCCCACCACACTTTTTTTTTTTTTTTAAGCCTACAGCACCTGGTATTTGCACACTTTTTTTTTTTTGAGACAGAGTCTCACTATGTTGCACTCAGTAGAGTGCTGTGGTGTTATAGCTCACAGCAACCTCAAACTCTTGGGTTCAAGTGATCCTCTTGCCTCAGCCTCCCAAGTAGCTGGAACTACAGGTGCTTGCCACAATGCCCAGCTATTTTTAGAGATGGGGTCTCACTCTTGCTCAGGCTGGTCTCTTAACTCCTGTGCTCAGGCAATCCGTCTGCCTTGGTTTCCCAGAGTGCTAGGATTATAGGTACCAGCCACTGTACCTGGCCTACTGGCTTCATATTAGTATTGAGTACATTGGATACTTGTTTTTCCATTCTCATGATACTTTACTAAAAAGAATGTGTTTCAATTCCATCCATCCTTTTCCTTTTTTTCCTTTTTAAAAATCTGTGAACTAATTCTTTCTTTCTTTTTTTTGAGAAAGACTCTTACTCTGTCACCCTCAGTAGAGTGCTGTGGCATCATCATAGCTGACAGCATCCTCAAGCTCCTTTGGCTCAAGTGACCGTCATGCCCCAGCCTCCTGAATAGCTGAAACTAGAGGTGTACACTGCTATGCCTGGCTAGTTTTTCTATTATTAGTAGAGATGGGGTCTCGCTCTTGCTCAAGCTGGTCTCTGACTCCTGAGCTCAAGCAATCCACCTGCCTTGGCCTCCCAGAGTGCTAATATTTTATCTATGAGCCACCTTGCCCCACCATAAACTGATTCTTGTTAATAACTCCTAATTGGTTCGTTTCTCCAAAAAACTTAGCTATACTTGTTTCTAGAAACTTAGCTATATGACCACCATACTGGGCGGCAGGTGTCTTAGTTACAGATTTAGGTCTCCTTCTCAAGCTTCAGTGTGTACATGAGCACAGGAGTTACCCAGGGATCTTATTAAAATGCAAAACCTGATTCAGTGGGTAGGGGATGGGGCGGGAGATTCTATAGTTCTTACAATCTTCCAGATGATGCTGACCATGCAGTTGCCAACAGACCACACTCCAAACAAGGACTTCAGTGAGGACTCTTACCTGAGTGCCACACTTTTAGTGCTATTAATTTGACAGGGCATTGCTTTGCCACCCTTTCAATTAGTGCTTAAATATATTTACTCTTCAATCCCAAGAAGCTGGGCTTGTTTCTGAGAGTCTATAACTTTTGCACACTAGAGAGATGCAGAAAAAAATTAATTTTAGTTATTTATTTATTTATTTTAAGAGATAAGTTTTCACTCTGGCTCAGGCTGGTCTCGAACTCATGAGCTCAGGCAATCCACGTGCCTCACCCTCCTAGTTTATCTCTACTAAAACAAGAAAAACTAGCCAAGTGTAGCAGTGCACACCTCCAGTTTCAGCTACTCAGGAAGCTAAGGCATGAGGGTCACTTGAGCCCAAAGAGTGCTAGGATTACAGGCGTGAACTATTGGGCCTGGCCCCCCAAAATATTAATTTTAAGTTTCATTTGGTGAACAACTTCTTTATAGTTAAAATAAATGAAATTTAAATTAAGAAGAAAGCTTATTAATAAACACTTTTAAAACTCTACCACTCCACCATCTTTATTTTCCCTTTTATACCATTTTTTCTCTATGGCCATAGACAGTTATAATTTCATGTGATTGTAGTATATATGTAAACGATTTTTTCTGCTCATTATTTTATTTTATTTTGTTTTATATTTTTGAGATAGAGTCTTATTTTGTTGTCTTCGGTAGAGTGCCATAGTGTCACAGCTCACAGCAATCCCCAACTCTTGGGCTTAAGCAATTCTCTTGCCTCAGCCTCCCGAGTAGCTGGGACTACAGGTGCCCGCCTCAACGCCTGGCTTTTTTTTGTTGTTGTTTTAGCTGGCGGAGGCCAGGTTCAAACCTGCCACCCTCGGTGGCAGTGCCCTACCCACTGAGTCACAGGCACCACCCTGCTCATATTTTAGATAATATGAGATTTCCCTCCCATATTACCATGAATCTTTAATAAAGATCATTTTAAAATTTGACATTGAGTCATCACTTTTCATGTTTTGACACATCAGGGTCATGGTGGTAGACAGAATATAGAGGAAGTATCTAGAAAAAGATGAACATTGGCATTGAAAGTCACCAAATGGATGTCCTGACATCAGAACAGATTTCTGTTTCTGGTGGATCAGGAGACAGGAAAACCTGAGAGATTCAGAAAGGACCAGGGTGGATTCCATGGGTGAAGGAACCTTTGGAAATAATATAAACAGGGGTGTCCAACCTTGTTTATTTTCTGCCAGTCATTGGAAGAAGAAGAGTTATCTTGGGCCACACATTAAAAACACAAACACCAACAAAAGCTGATGATCCAAAAAAAAAGAAAAGTTTTGTGCATAATTTTTGTGATGTTTGAGATCACACATAAACAAAAAGTCCTCACAAAATCAGCATGCAGGCCACAGGTTGCACACCCCTGAAAGCAAAAGCTTTAAAAATCCTACCCCTATCTTCCATACAAAGTTAACTCATTTAATATTTAAATAATAACAACAACAACAAAAAATCCCACTCCTACCTTGCTCCCAGGAGCAGCTTCCAAAGGAAAGATTCATTTGATATTGTTCTAAGATATGCCTGATCTTCCCACTGAGTTGATGTGACATTATCTATGTTGGATACTTTATTTCCAACTTTTCTCCAGAATATAGACACGATGATGAACATCTTTATGTATGTGGCTTTTTATTTTCTCTTGAATTACTTCCATGATAAACAAATTCAAAGAAAATATTGTAACATTGCTGGCTTAAGGGATGTGAGCATTTTAATGACACCTGATGAGTGCTGACAAATGATTTCTCAGTGCCTTTTCTGATTCTAGTGCCTTGAATGGTATGTGAATACAGTGGGTTTTGTAATTTTACCTTTTACCCTTTAAACAACATGAAAGAACGCATTGTTTGGGTTCACATTTCTTCCTTAACAATTAAAGGTAGACATTTTCTTCTTTCTTTCTTTCTTTCTTTCTTTCTTTCTTTCTTTCCTTCTTTCTTTCCTTCTTTCTTTCTTTTTTTGAGACAGAGTCTGACTATGTTGCCCTCAGTAGATTGCCATGGCGTCACACTCACAGCAACCTCAAATTCTTGGGCTTAAGTGATTCTCTTGTCTCAGCCTCCCAAGTAGCTGGGACTATAGGTGCCCACCACAACACCTGGCTATTTTTTGGTTGTAATTGTTTAGTTAGCCCAGGCCAGTTCGAACCTGCCACCCTTGGTGTATGTGGCTGGTGCTGTAACTGCTGTGCTACAGGTGCTGAGTCGAAAGGTGGACATTTTCAAACATGCTTGTGGAATATACAGTCTTCCTTTCTGATGAATTGTTCAACTTGAAACATTCAGTTTAAACATCATTTTTATATGTAAACTGTGAGCAAATGTGTGAGTCAAAAATTAAGACATGGCTTTATTACCTTTGTGAAATATCAAACACCCACTCAGGCCTGAAACATTGGTATCATTGTGTGGGTTAATTGTGGTGTGCCAGCTTACCTGTCAGCTATTTTCATTTTAAGCTTTACAATATATCCTCTTCCGGATGTGTTCTTGTTTATTATCACCTCTCTTAAGTGTGGGGCTTAGTACTGAATACAAATCCGGTTGGGCCAACCAGCGCAGGGACTGCTGAGGCTGTGACCCCAGGGTTCTTCAGCCTCTGAGATGCTCACAGCCTCGCCCCAACTATGAACTGTGAACTTAGATGAACGGGGGAGAGTTGAAGTTTTCTGATTTTAAATTTCTAAATTTGGTAAGCCTAAAAACAGGACTTTACATTTCTCTTTGTTATACTCTAACCAGAAAGAACCCCCCTCACACACTTTTTAAGCATCTGTTCTGGGTTTCAGAAAGAAGAAATTAAGAAGAATATATTCATCATATTTTATCAAGGCGAGCAGCTCAGGAAGAAAATCAAGAAGATCTGTGATGGGTAAGAAGGACAGTTCATGGCCCTTTCGTCAGCGATTTGGGTCAGAATTAGGTAAAAAAGGCATGTCATGCAAAATACACATGTTTGGGGCTTCTGTAAGGTCGGTTAGGGTTTTTGGATAACTTTCCCACATCATGCTTTGATAGGATGTTGTTAAAAATGCAACTCATTTTTAAAATGAGAATATGGACAGAGGGAACTTGAATAAGCCAAATGTGAAGGTCACTAGAAGTAGCCGTGGTAGCGACTGGAGTTTATCCCTTCATGCCTCTTCTGCTGCTAAGGAGTAGATAAACTGCACGGCTAAGTTCCTGGTTTTACAGAATCGTTGTCTATGCAGCTCCTTAGATGCAAAAATTACTTAGCACAGAGGATATTAGTAGTTTCTGGGAGGAAGAGGGGGCCAGTCAGGCCTGCAGTCTGTTTACCTAACAGCTCACAGGTGTTACAGTTTGGATGACGCTCATTCACTACCAGAACTGCAGCTTCAGCTCACAGCCCTAGCACGCTAGTGACATTCTGGGAATCTCTGTCACTAGGACCATTTTCTGATCGCCAAAGAGGCAGTTATTCTAGGAAAGGGTCTAACCAAAGTCACCAAATGATGGCTTAGCCGAAATGGGGGTGCAGGGTGCTTTGCAGCAATAACCCATGTGTGTCCTTTGGAATGTCTGAAACACAGGTTTCGAGCCACCATATACCCTTGCCCAGAGCCTGCGGCGGAGCGCAGGGAGATGCTGGCTGGTGTCAACATGCGGCTGGAAGATCTAATCACCGTAAGTGAGGGGTTCAGGCAGGTGATCTGATGGTGGCTGCACATGGGCTGTTTCCATGTCAGCCCTGTCCCCCGGGGCCTTCTCTGGGAGGCTGGCTGGCATGTTTGTTACACCCTTCTGACTGTGGCTATGGAAGATTTCACAATTAGAAAACTGTTCGATAAGTTAAAAATGATGATTCTGCGTGTCAGGAATGCTTTTGACCACACAGTCCTAGTCAGCCTCCAGGTGCCTCCCTCGTCTGATAAAAGATGCCTTTTATAGCCAGCTTCGGGCCAGACCAAATCTATGACACAACTAACCAGATAATTTAGTTGAACAACCAGTTCGACCAATTCTTTTCCCACTGAATTGCCTGGTTGTTTAAGCCGAATGATTAATTCTGTAAAAACAGAGTGAGTGTAGTTTCACCTGCGAACGTCTTCATTTCCATTGTCAAGTCTGTCCTCATCCAGGGCGACACTCAACACTGGCACGGTCAGAACACTTTCTTCAATCACAGCAGCTCTGAGAGTGATCCCTGAAATGAGTGGAGCCTCGGTCCCATGGCAATTTCTCAGTGAGGCCCAGTAGAACTTTCTGTTGTGACAGAATGTTACATCGTCTGTGCTGTCCAACGTGCCAGCCTTGAGTGGTGGTTGAGTGCTTGAAACATGCCTAGTGCCACCAAAGAACTGAATTTTTATTTAATTTTAATTAAATTTAAATTTTAGTAGCTGCATTTGGCTATTGTGTAAGTCAGGACAGTTTTATGCCGTCCACCGGTGTGTGTGGAAATTAGGGTTGAGTGTATGTGTGTGTCTCTCAAAACTCTTAGGCTAGTAGACGGTTTTACCTTCCCAGGAAGTCTGTGGTTAGTTTCTTTAATCCTGCTATTCCTTCTTTGTCATTTGTTGGGAAGACTGCGTTTCCTTAAAGCAATTACCCTTGAGGTCCTTTTCCCAGATCCTCTATACTAGATTTTATGGAAACTTCATGGAGGATGGAAAAGAAATGCCTTTAAACTCATACCCACAGTTGGTATAACCTGGGGGCTTCAAATGATGAAACTGAGCAGCTTCCCCGGGGGTGACTTCATCCCTCGCCAAAGATGAGTCTTAGATCCTGGCCGAGGCTCAAACTGTTTATTTGCACAGTGCTCTTACAAGACAGATACCGTGTGACAAAAGCAGGCTGGTGGCTTAGGCCACATACAGTCAGGAATCAGGTGACCAACTGACCAGGAGGGTCTGGAGACCATTTTCAAGAGGATTCTTCCCCTTTTTATGCCCGTATTCAGTTCAGATCTGTTACCATGTGCTTCTTTCATTAAGAGAGTTTTAAGATATTCTTATACGGGTAAACTTTGTTTTAAAGTTTCTGAGATTTGCATCTGAGCTGGCGTAGCCTTGTCTCCTGGAAATCCCTAACCTGGGGCTGGAGATCATTAGGCCATGTTGCATCAGGCTGCTAAGTGACAGGTCATGTCAGGCTTGTAAGTCATAGGAGTGGGTGGGCCTTATGGCTGTCATTAAGCCTTACAGCCACAATATGTCTCTTATAATACATTATGGTAGCCACAGGTGTGGTTACTACATACATGGTTACTGTATCATCAAAACCTAAAAACTAATTCCATGAAGTAAATTCTGTGTGGCCACATCACTCATTCTTTTACTCGTTAACTCGCTTGTCATTGATTGGAGAGATTATGTGATGTAAATCATTTTGGCAAGTGTATTCATTTCTTAGGGCTGCGGTAACAAATGACGTGAATGAATTTCTCTTGTGGTTCTGGAGGCTGGGCGATGTGATCAAGGTGTTGGCAGAGCCATGCTCCCTCTGAAGACGAAGCGGGGGGATCCTTCCCCACCTTTTCTAAGCTGTGGTGTTCCCCGACTTGTAGACATGTCCCTCCCTCCTCTGCCTCCCTAGTCATGTGGTGTTCTTCCTTGTGCACCTCAATGTCCAAATTTTCATGAGGCCCCCCCCAATCCATTATGGCCTCAACTTGATTGTATCTGCAAAGACCCTCTTTCCAGATAAGGCCATATTCAGTGGCATGGGGGGAGATGGAGGTGTCCAACACATCTTTTTTGAGGACACAATTCAACCCATAACAGTAGAGCTCTGAGGAATTCAGAAGAAAAGAAAGATACAATCTTTGCCTAAAGGTTTTAGCCTCTGGCAGGGGAGATAAACTGCTTCTGAGAGTTGGGAGCCAGGTGAGAGCTGCAGGCCGAGGGCAGCCCAGAGGGGCAGCCGGGAGCAGGGAAGCTGCTGTGGCTGCGGCCTCTATCTTTGCAGCATCATCGTGTGCTGTGTGTGTGACGGTCCTTGTGTTTCTGTGCGCTGTTTTGGGGCCTAGGTCATAACACAGACGGAGTCTCACCGCCAGTGCCTGCTGCAGGAAGCAGCTGCCAACTGGCACTCCTGGGTCATCAAGGTGCAGAAGATGAAGGCCGTTTACCACGTTCTGAACATGTGCAACATCGACGTCACCCAGCAGTGCATCATCGCGGAGATCTGGTTCCCGCTGGCCGATGCCGGGCGCATCAAGAAGGCCTTGGAGCAGGGCATGGTACGTGGCAGGAGTGCTGGGGTGGTGACAGATGAGTCTGGCTGGGGAGGGTGTCACCTCCTCTGTCACGTGAACTTTGCCCGTGACTTGGTGGTAGGATTACCTCCATCTCATAACGCAGCACTGGGCATAAAAGAAACTTTTTTTCCAGTGTTCGACAAACACTCAACATTTCTTTGATCTTTTTTTTTTTTTAAGGCACCCACCACAATGTCCGGTTTTTTTTGTTGTTGTTGCAGTTTGGCTGGGGCAGGGTTTGAACCCACCACCCTCAGTATATGGGACTGGCAGCCCTACTCACTGAGCCACAGGCACCGCCCCATTTCTTTGATCTTTAACACATACACATCAAACCTAATGTGCCAGTCACTCTGCTAGCCTGAAAATATCATCTGTTATCTCATGGAGGTCACAGTCTAGTGAGAAAGACACAAAACCAAGCCTATGATAATGGCCCAAGTGTGAAGATTCCTGCTGTGCTCCAGCGACTGTGCTGAGCTCTGTGTGGCTGATGCGACTCAGACCTCTTACAGTCACTGAGCACCAGGAACAGATCTCAGGGGCTGCCAGGGCTGCCCAAGGCCCTACCCTAAGAGACTTTCTGGAAAGGGACCTGGACGCATGTTCAAGACTAATGTGATTTCAGTCAGTGATAAGTGGTGGGCCAGAAATCAGATGGGGGGGGGAATGGGGGATTGTCCTGATCCCTTATTAACCCCATTGATGAAGGAGGGATCCCCCACCCTAAATAGTACAGGGCAGGATACACTACACCAGCTGGACAGATGAGACAGCTGCTTATTAGTCAGGGAACTCGTAGCCCAGGGGAGAACAAATGGTACATGCCAGCAGGGCCATGGGGTGTGCTCGGAACCTGCACATGGGAGCAGTGAGCCAGCAGGGCCACATGGGAGCAGTGAGCCAGCAGGGCCATAGGGTGTGCTCGGAACCTGCACACGGGAGCAGTGAGCCGGCAGGACCTGCTGGAGCTTTATAGTACCGGGGGGATGGGGAGGGGGGGAGGTGCCTTTTTGTTCCTGCAGAATAATGTGATTAGTTTCTTTGAACAATTTCACAGAGTAGCTGGAAGGCGAAACCCATTAGGTTGAGGCAGGCATCCTCAAACTGTGGCCCATGGGCCACATGCGCCCGCCTAGGACATTTATCCGGCCCGCTGGGTGTTTTTGGCGCTGCTGCTTATCCTGCTTAGCAGCCAACTCATCCTGGGCCCGCAGTCCAGCCCTCCAACAGTCTGAGGGACAGTGAACTGGCCCCCTGTTTAAAAAGTTTGAGGACCCCTGGGTTGAGGACTGTGGGTGGTGGCATCTTCTCCCACTGATGGGGAAATGAGCTGGGTGAGAAGCCTTCCCTGCTAGCTGGGTGGCATATCTGGTGACAGCAGGGGGACTCGTTCTGTCTGTTGCCAGAGAAGGCCCCTCTAAACAGGTGGCACTGATGCCATGTTAGATTGGGGTGGAGCAGGAGGAGGAGACTTCAGGCTGAGGGATCTGAAGATAACAGCCTTGATTTGGGAACAGACTAGGAGGTAGGAGCTACCGATCCCCTTAGTGCAGAGGAGGAGACCGAGGCACAGAGCACAGAAATAACCTGGCCTCAGTCTTTCAGCCAGGAGGCAGGATTTGAAGGCACAGAGTGTTCCTCTTAGTCCCCTACACTCCTGTGTCCCCACATCATGGTTCAAAAGCACTAAACGGAACACTTGGAAAGAGCATTTCCCCCAGACTGGGCAGGGCGGGCTGCACTGGAGGAAGGGTGGTCAGTGAGAAGGCTGAGAAAGAGGGGTATAGGGCGGGGGGCCTCCTGGGGGCCCAGGAGAGTGAGGCTGAGAACCATGAAGTCAGGTCTGCAGGAACAGGAAGAGGGTTGAGAGGGAGAGTCTGGAGCTTTTGTTGGGTGACTGACTGGATCAGGAGACAAATCCCTGGGGGAGTGTAGGCTCCCCTAAAGGGCAGGAAGGTCCAGTGGTGGCGGAAACCTGGCTTTGGGGAAAGCTGATGAATTCAGGTTTAGGCTCCTGGATTTTGTGATGTTGGTGAGACACTGGAGTTTGAAAGTCTAAGCTGGCAATTACGGAGAAAAAACATCGACGTTTGGGAAAGAGTCAGGTCTGCCTGGAAGACAGGAATGAATTAGGAAGGCAGATGTGCTCTTGACAGAGAAAGTGGAGAGAAAGGGAAGCCGAGAGGCTCGAACCGAGTCAGGAGCGTGTTTGCGGGAGCAGGAGGGTGGAAACTGCCGGCCACTCAGGAACGACTCGTCGGCTCTCATGTGAGACAGATTGGACAAGTATTGAAGGAATTAACTCTTCTCCACGAGGTCACCAGTCTCAGAAGGGTCAAACAGTGTCCCACATTCACTCAGCAAGTGATGGTAGGAGCGGGGACAGCCACAGTTGCTACCACCCTGCCTTGGGCTCTTCCCTACTTTGTGTCACTTGTTGTCTTTGCAGGAATTGAGTGGCTCTTCTATGGTCCCCATCATGACCGCCGTGCAGTCTAAAACAGCCCCTCCCACATTTAACAGGACCAACAAATTCACAGCAGGCTTCCAGAATATTGTGGATGCCTATGGCGTAGGCAGTTACCGGGAGATAAACCCAGGTAAGATCAGACTCATTGCGCAGCTGGGCAGCTTGAAAGTGAGAACTGGGTAAGATGTTCCCCTGAGGTGACCTAGGAGGTGAATTGTTAAAGCTGTGACATTGCTACAATCTTACTTGGTTTCCTGATATCCTGTGTTGTCTTCTATAAATGCCAATTAGTGAGAGAGCGTTCTTCGTCTTTACCTAGTCTCCCTTAAACTGCAATCTCATGGGGCAACTGAAGTCAGTCCTTTTTTTGTATTTTCCCTGCTAAAAAGAGACAGGGGCTGGCTATGTTGCCCAGGCTGGTTTTGAACTCCTGGCCTCAAGTGTGCCTCTGGCCTAGGCCTCTCAACGTGGTGGAATCACAGGTGTGAGTCCCGGCACCTGGCCTGAAGTCAGTTCTTGTTTACCTCAGTGATTCAGAGAGGGTCAGCACTTAGCATCTTCATGGAGGGTTCTGTCTGGGAGTCAGAAGACTGGATCTTGGTACCTGGTTAATGAAAGAAAGGGGTAGACCTGATGCCCTCTGGCCAAGCAGTGTAGGTGCTGCTCTGCTCCCGCCTGAGTTGGGTCTAACTTGTCACCTGTAATGCAGGAGCCTTTGTTGGTTGAGGGTCCCTGCAGGTAAACAGCTGGTGCGGTGTGGTGCACGTCAATGGGAGGGAAACAGGCGAAAGGTGGCAGTGGAAGGAGTATAGAAAGCACAGAGAGGCAGAAAACCCCTTTTAAATTCCATCAGACAACGTGATTTGGAGCAAGTCACTTAACTGTTCTAAACTCAGCACGTCTGTGGTGTGGGGAATGAGAACGCCAACTCCCAGGTGTGCTCGTGTGTGGGAGCTAAGCTCGTGTCGAGGAAACACACGGCAGATCTGTGGTGGCCTCAAGCTGCGACGGTGTCCCCTCTGCAGCTCCCTACACCATCATCACCTTCCCCTTCCTGTTTGCTGTAATGTTTGGAGACTGCGGTCACGGGATTGTGATGTTTCTGGCGGCCCTGTGGATGGTTCTCAGTGAGAGACACCTGCTCTCCCAGAAGTCGGACAATGAGGTGGGTGCCGTCCTCTGTCTCGCCCCATTTCTTTGAGGTAGGCTGTTAAACTCTGTATGTGGTTTTCCCCATACAAATAACAGGCTTTTACGAAAAATAAGGAAAAAGGAAAGTAAAAGAGCCACAATTTAACAGAAAACTCCTGGCCTAAGGGTGGTTTGCTGTAGTTCCTTTTAGCATTTTTGTTTTTTGTAAAGCCTTGAAAGGGCGTTGATTTCCATCCCCCTACCTTTTTTTGAGGCAGAATCTCACTTTATCAATTTTGGTAGAGTGTCATGGCATCATAGCTCACAGCAACCTCAAACTCTTGGGCACAAGTGATCCTCTTGCCTCAGCCTCTTAAGTAGCTGGGACCATAGGCACTGGCCACATGCCTGGCTATTTTTGGAGACTGGTCTCTCTCTGGTGCAGGCTGGTCTCGAACTCCTGAGCTCAGGCAATCCACCTTCCTCAGCCTCCCAGAGTGCTAGCTGTGAGCCACCACACTGCCCGCCCCTTTTTTCTAACATTTATTTTTTTATTCCTTCTTCTTATAAAAGCAATACATACTCATTGTACAAAATAAAAAAAATCTAACCACCTAGAGAAGAATCACAATTAACATTTTTTCATTATTTTTTTGTGCTTATATGCAAATACTTAACTTCCAAAAATTGGCATCAAACAGTACATACTATTTGTGGAACAAGCCTGGGACTGATGTTCTTGTGAAACAGTGAGAAACCCTCCCTCTTACACTTGAAGTTCCACCTCCCACGAGGTCCCTTCACAGAGCATGGAGAAGGTTGAGACAACCCAAGAGTCTGCATTCATTCAAAGTTTATTAGTTGACTGAAATTAACCAGTTTATGTTCACATAATACACTTTACAAAGTGGAAGCATGCCTTAGCCATGTTCTGATCTCAAGACTACCAGCAATCTTTTATTAAAGGGTAACTTAACTAGATGTTAGTTCAGTGATGTCAAGGCTAGTGGGCAAAATCAATCTATGACAGACAATAGTTTCCCATGACCAGCTTAACAGATGCAGTTTTCCATGACAGGCTTTGAAAGTCTCAGAGTTACACTTGAGTAGCTCTTGGGGTGATGATATGCATCTTCCAGTGTAACCAGAAAGCACTTTACTCTTCTCAGCAGATGTAGTCAGAGGCTCACCCTGATAATGACAAGGCCCAAAGTGAGCATAATCTGACCCGGCATAAATGTGGAGTCACGTGAGGCCTCCGCCTGCATGTCGGTTCATTTCCTAGCCCAGGCTGGATGAAGGAGCATGAGGCTTGAATGTTTGTGTTTCCACAATAACAAATACCAGTCTAGGGGGGACTTTCCAGGCTCCCGTGTACGTTTGAAAGAAAAGTCGTGGTGTGTGTGCTCTTCCTACCTGGATTCTTGAGTCTGCTCCGGCCACACAGCCGACTGACAGTCATCCTCTCTGTCCCTGGGGCCAGATCTGGAACACCTTCTTCCACGGGCGCTACCTGATCCTCCTCATGGGCATCTTCTCCATCTACACGGGCCTGATCTACAATGACTGCTTCTCCAAGTCTCTGAACATCTTTGGATCTTCCTGGAGCGTACAGCCCATGTTCAGAAATGGCACGTGGAAGTAAGTGTGCAGACAGAGATGCTCACCCTCTGGCCATCCGGATGGCCTTGGGGACCGTTTTCATGGTGGCTGGGCTCAGGAGTGCACCTGAAAACCCAAGAAGTCATTGAGATTTACCTGCTGAATTGAAGACCTTGTGCCACTTCTCTAAACACTGTGCTGGTACCTGTGATGCACAGAAATAGTTTTTAAGATTTCAGCTCAATTGGCTAGCTGGTGTGGTGGCACACACCATAGCAGGCCAAGGCAGGAGTATCCTTTGAGTCCAGCCTGGGCAACAAAGCAAGATCTTACCTCTTTAAAAATTCAGCTCAATTAAATATATATGGCATATATACCACATACCAGGCAATATGGAGAAAAAAAGTGGTAGAGCAGGTTTAACTGGGCCTTCTGGGGAGAATCACAGAAGCAGGGCTTCCTGGAGAAGAGGGTGGCTCTGAAATAGACTTTGCTCCAGCAGGGACTGGAGGTACAGTGATGTTATGCAGCTAAGCATTTAGGGCAGAAAGCTTTGCTTGAAAAAAGGCTGATGCAGATGTTGGGCTGTGTAGAGTCTTGGTTTCCAGTATTCCAGGCCCCAGACTCTCCAGAAGGATGTTTCCTGTGGCTGTTCAGGGAACCTGATTTCAGCACTAAAAAGCAGTGGCTGTGTGTGTGTGGGGGGCTCATGCCTCTAATCCCAGCACTTTGGGAGGCCAATGCAGGAAGATGGCTTGAGGCCAGGAGTTCAAGACCACCCTAAACATCGCAAGACCCTGTCTCCTCAAAATACAGAAGAATTACCAGCAGCTGGGTGTGGTGAGAGCACCCATAGTCCCACCTACTCAGAAGACTGAGGCAGTAGGGTGGCTTGAGCCCGGGAGTTTGAGGTTGCAGTGAGCTATGATGAGGTCACTAGATGCTAGTCTGGGGGAACAAAGCGAGACCCTGTCTCAAAAAAACAAATAAATAAACAAAACCCACAAAACCAAACAGAAATGCAGAGAAGAGGGTTAGTTCTACAAGGCTGGCTCCTGTATTTGCCCTGTGACTGACAGATTGAACGTGTGTGTGGGGACATAGGGAGCAGCTGGCAAGGACATATAGGGGTCACAGAACAGAGTGACCTGAAAGCCCCCTGAATCCCCACTGTCCACACCTCCTATTTGCATCCCACATTTATTTTTATGCAGCTAATGAGACAGATTGGAATGGAACACAATTTTTTAAGTAAGGGGACTTTTATGGGGAAGGTAAAAATTTTTAGAATTTGAGAGACAGGTAGGGAGATCAGAGAGACCCGGAGGAGAGGAAACTTTGAGGGAAACGAAGACATTTTGATGACCTCATGATTTGGGGAATCTTAGGCTGTGTGCATCACGTGACCTGAGACACCCACAGTCGTTTCAGAGCTAATTTGTGAAAGCTACCAATCCTAGGTGACATTGTGACGTCTTTCTGCCTAGCTTCTCTGAGTCAGCTGAAGTTTGCTCTGCCTCATTCTGGAACTTCCAACTGAAATACGTCCAGAAGACTGAAAGACGGTGAAGGTTGAGATCCGTAAACATGTTTTCCAGCTACCTTCCCGTCTTTCAGCTCCTAAGCTGGTAGGAGTTGAGCATTTCTATGGATGGAAATTCCGAGGTTTTAACTTGCTCATCAAAACCTGTAGTAAACATAAACGAGGGAGAGAATAAACAGTCTCATCTAAGGATTTTGTGTTTAGAAAAGATATAATCCAAGCGTCCTGCACAGTTAAAACTGGGAGCTTTCCTGAGGGCCTTTTAAGAGCTCGGTGTTGACGCAGGCACAGGCGAGGTCTGGGGGACTGCAGTGGGTCGTGGAGGTTCTAATGCGTTCCTTTTTAGTTTCTCTGCTAGGCCTAATTTCCCTGTAGTAGAAAAATAAGTATATATAGAAAATTAAGGAAACAAATGTTTTTCAGAATTACATACAGATGGCTCTATTTGTGGTTCTTTTTCTTTTTTACTTTGCAATTAGTATTCTAAAGAGATTCCTAGAAGAACAAAACTTTCATAAATTTTAAAACAAATTACTTAGTTTTGCTTTTTAGATTAAGCTCATAAACATAGAGATGAGCTTGGAAACATGTTATATCCGCATAATTTTACCAAACTACCAACATGAAATTTCATTTCCCCCTGAGTGTGACTGTGAAAGGCCCCAGGTAACTGGCTGTTCCCGCTCTGCAGACAGGGATGGGAAGGTTGTTCTCTCATGTACATACAAATGACCTCTCCACAACTCAGTGACACTGGAGCCTGGGCCTGGGAGACACAGCCACGTGCCCAAGTGTCAGTACAGAAAGGAGAACTTCATTATCAGTGAGGCAGAAGAAGAACATTCCATCACCCTCAGAGCTGCAGGACGTGGCAAGCTGGTTTTGGTCACAGTCACAGCCTGGGGCTTGGGCCTGCTTCCCGGACAAGTGACAGAGCCCCTCAGCCGAAGACCACCAGAAACATGACCCTAGTCACCCACACTGGGTTTTTTGACTCCACAAGGGAGATAGTCACATTGGGAAGACCACATCTCAGAGGATGTTCAAAAGGACTGGGAGGAGAGGCCTGTGTTCAGAGGGTCTGGGCGCTCCTGTGGTTTGGACTGTGTCCATCTTTGCGTAGATTAGTGTATAACTGCAGTGATCTTGTTTTATCTCACTCTGTCATAGTCACAAGGTGGCCTTGTCTGAGGTTGGTGTTCTGTGAAGTTGTTTGTGTTCAGCAGGGAACACTAGGGCTTAGCTGTGGGTGCTAGGCCGGTTCCCTCCTGTTGGGTGGCTTTTGTCTCTGAACACACAGGTGCCTCTCCGCTGACACCCGGCAGTTTGCACTGAGGCACTGGACAGGGGTCTATGTCAGAAATAGTGAGTCAGGGAAGCTGTTCCCATCGTGGACTGTGGGCCGGGGCCCAAGCTTCCTGACCCCCCTCAGCAGCTACCAGAGCCCCTCAGCGCCTTGTTGCAGAGAGAGGGAATATCTCCCTGGGAAGCCTGCCAAAACTGTCCCCTCTCTGGTCTTCATCACTTCAAGTACTTGTTCCCTGGGCCTTTCCATAGATGCATGCTCTTATTTATTTATTTATTTCCCCTGATATAAATAAAACCCTGATTAGGCTTTTGTTAGTAAAGTCCAAGTCATAGTTGGGCCCTTCACGCAGGAGGCGTGCCTGTACCCTTACACTGTACCCATTAGGTGAGAGCTTACTGGAGCCCCCTCCCCTGCCTCTCCCCCACTTCTTGAATTTAGCTATTTTTCTCTCTTTGTCAGTGTGTAGTTGTTCATCTACTAGTTTCATATTAGTATTAAGTACATGGGATGCTTGCTTTTCCATTCTTGTGATACTTAGGAAGATGCTCTCCAAAGCCTTCTTGAGACAGAGTCTCACTCTGGTGCCCCAGGTTAGAGTGCCGTGGCCTCAGCAACCTCAAACCCCTGGCCTCAAGGGATCCTTCCACCTTGGCCTCCCTGAGTGCTAGGATTATAGGTATGAGCTGCCATGCCCTGCCCAGATGCAGGCTCTTAAAAAAAATTAATGGGTGTTGCCTGTGGCTCATTGAGTAGGGCACCAGCCCCATATACTAAGGGTGGAGGGTTCAAACCCACCCCTGGCCAAACTGCAACAAAAAAATAGCCAGGCATTGTGGCGGGTGCCTACAGTCCCAGCTCCTCAGGTGGCTGAGGCAAGAGAATCGCCTAAGCCCAGGAGCTGGAGGTTGCTGTGAACTGTGACCCTATAGCACTCTACTGAGGGCAACAAAGTGAGACTCTGTCTCTAAAAAAAAAAAAATTAATTTCTGGGTGGCTTGTGGCTCAGTGAGTAGGGCGCTGGCCCCATATACCCAGGGTGGCGGGTTCAAACCTGGCACTGGCCAAACTGCAACAAAAAAAAAGGCAGGCATTGTGGTGGTCGTCTGTAGTCCCAGATACTCAGGAGGCTGAGGCAAGAGAATAGCCTAAGCACAAGAGCTAAAGGTTGCTGTGAGCTGTGATGCCACAGCACTCTACTGAGGGCAACAAAGTAAGACTCTGTCTCTATAAAAAAAAAAAAAATTCCTAATGTTCTTACCTTCTCAAGGCATGCAGAGACAGAGAGTAAGAATTTTTTTTCCTCGACATTCATGCTGCTGGGTGAAAATGGGCCCCAGATTTAAAGACATTCAATGGAACTGCAATTTTTTAAGGTTATGTTTCACAGAGATCAAAGTCTATATGTAAAAAGCCAATTCTTTTTTTTTTTTTTTTGAGACAGAGCCTCAAGCCCCCTGGGTAGAGTGCCGTGGCATTACAGCTCACAGCAACCTCCAACTCCTGGGCTCAAGCGAGTCTCCTGCCTCAGCCTCCCAAGTAGCTGGGACCACAGGCGCCCGCCACAATGCCCGGCTATTTTTTGGTTGCAGCCGTCATTGTTGTTTGGCGGGTCCGGGCTGGGGATTCGAACCCGCCACCTTAGGTGTACATGGCTGGCGCCTTAGCCGGGTGAGCTATAGGCGCCGAGCCAAAAGCCAATTCATCCTTTAGGAGCAGCCCAGTGTTCGGGCCTGTTCCGGGCTGGGTTTCTGTGAGCTCCCCGTCCCCTCGTCCCCGCTCTCCACCTTTTCTCTGCTGTGCTACCACTGCCGCCTTTCTTCACTCTACCCCGCAGGGCTGAGAGCTCTTTGGGAACTTGGACTATGAACTCCTTGGGAGTCAGATGGTAATCTCCGCAGCTTTCGCACCTGTGACAATCTTTGGCACACAGCAGATATTCGATACTCACTCAAGGAGCAGTCGGATAAAGAGAATTGACGAGTTGCACCAACAGCTGGGCTGTGTTTGGGAGGCTGATGACTGATAATGCTAGACTGTTTTTTCTGCCTCTGATTGATCTTTATTTTATTTCCCTCCCTCCTTTCTTCTTCTGAAGTACTCACGTAATGGAGACGAATTCATTTTTACAGTTGGACCCAGCCATGCCGGGAGTGTATTCTGGAAACCCATATCCGTTTGGGATTGATCCGGTAATAATATCTTCTTTTCTTAAAATTACAGTTAATGTGAGGGTACAGTTAATGTGAGGGTACAAACAACTAGGTTACAATGTTTGCATGTGTTAGGTAGTTGTGTCCCACACGCAGGAGGGGTGTCATAGACCCTTCCATTGTGCCCATTAAAGGGGGAGCACACCAAACCCCCTCCCTCCTCCCCTCTCCCCCTTCCTCTTTCCCCTCCCTCCAACTTGAATTGAAATTGAGTTTTTCTCTTATGGGCACGTGTTAGATCGTCCACTGGCTTCATATTAGCATTGAGTACATGGGATACTTGCTTTTCCATAACGTCTTCTTAAGTTAAATATTTATTATCTCTTGAAATGTCCTTATAGAGAAGGAAGTGCCAGAACTTGTCAAAGCAGCAAACTTATATTGAGAGAGAATAACTGTACTGGAGGTTTTAGTGACACACAGAGCCAGTTCAAGTAAATGTTCACACAGTTCTCCAAACACCTGCCTCTGTCTCCATTCCTTACACCCTGGTGGTTAATGATTGCTTCTTTGAAAGGGCCTTGGTTGCCAGGAAAGTGTGCAAATTGGAAGCAGCATCCCAGCCAAGGTCCCTACCTTGACATTTTCTCACAGTGGGTAACGGCTCCCCTTTTCCTAAAAACAAGCCTGGATTTGCTTTTGTTTTTGCTTTATTTTACTGCATAGAATTGACACAAGCTTTTTATTTTTTAAGGTATGTGCTTCCTTTTATTTAGTTGTTTTATCTATCTCAGTTAACTAGAGTCGCATAAAATTCGAGCAAAACAAAGGTAGTGCTTCCTCGCAGCCTTTAATGTAAAGGGGTTTCCAAGGAGGTGCGCGTACCCATTCATGTAAAGCTGTGCACCTTGATGGCCCAGTGCATACCGCCACCAGGTGGCAGCCTTGTGCTCTGAATGAATATGAGCCGCCTCAAACTGAACTCCGCCAAGGCTGTCCGCACCTGTTTCTTCTAAGCTCTAAATTTGTGGAAGAGAACCTGAGGCCTCAGTTTAAGTGAGGGAGTAAATGGCGAGGCCCTACAATTGGTTTTCAGTCTTGCACATGTTGGAGGTCACCTCTTCTTCCGTTTTCCTGGGTTCTTTTATTTCTTCCTCCTTGCCCTCTTGAAAGCCGAAGCATGGCCCAGGGTCTGTTTGTTTACTTGCCACCCAGGAGCACGTGCGTTCTAAATTCTACCCAAACTGGTAAAGTCCCTAAGAGCTGTTTTGGAAGCTGCAAAGTGCTGAAAACAAATATGAGTTGTTATTTTTGCAGTCTGGAAGGCTTCATCCTTGGTCAAAAGAATTTTATGATTAGTAAGCAGGTCACGGGGAAGCATGGAGCCGGGGATGATTCTAGGGTCTGGTTGATTTTCCTGGAATTTCATCATCCCAGAGAACTTCTCTCTACCCTGCACAGCCCACGTCTAATTCATCAGCAAATCCCATCTGCCCGGTTCGGCTTCTTGTACAGACCTGGACTATGGTATTTCACATTTCAGAGCTAAATAGTCCACGAGTTACTACTCTGCCTGCAATTTAGTCCCCTGCCCATCCCACCAGTTAGAACAAAAAGAAAAAAATGTCAAAGTGAAAGAGAAGTTGGGATGTTGACTATAAATTTTTTTTTCTAGTACTATTTAGAATTTCGAAAAATTTTAGCTTTTTTATCCTAAAGTAATATGTACATATATGTGGTTTTAAAAATATATACAAAGTATGTCAGAAAATAAAAGCAGGATTGCCTTTCCTGCCTCTCCTATTCTTGTGAGCCTATTCCTCAGAAATAACCACTTTAACAGAACATTTCTGTGTCCATATTGGTACTTCTGTCATATATTATTAATGAGGGTTTAATTTTTTATAATGTAAATTTCTATATGTGTGTCTGTGTTCACCATCTTTTTGTGAACCAAATCACAAAATATCTGGCCTTCATCATAGCTAGCCTTCAGGTGTTTCTAAATATTTTATAATAAATTAACAAAACAAAATGGTTAAGAGCCCCTGCTCTGGAATCTGACTGCCTAGGTTTAAATCTCAGCTTTTCCAATTACTTGCCCTGTGATTTTGAGCAAGTTAATATCTCTGTGTCTGTTTCCTCGCCTATAAGATGGATGTAATTTAATAACAGCACTAACTGCTAGGGCTGCTCAGCGGACTAAATTATTTTTACATGTAAAAGCCCCAGAACAGAGTCTGGCGCGTAAATGAGTTAAATGCTCCACGAGTATTAGCTGCTATCGTAGTGCATTATTTTTTCCTAGGTGTGTAAGTAACTTAATCTTCCTCAGATTATGGCAAATTCCCTTGTTCATAAAATGGGAATAATTATATCTATCTGATAAAGTTTTGTTAGAATTAGATGAGGCAAATACATCTTAGGAGCTTCGTATGTGCCTGGTACTCAACTATTCACATCTTTAGTTTATCAGATTTGGCTGGGTGGACAGTGTGCTGGTGCCCCTGCCCTTGCCATGTGAGTGCTCCTGGCTAACCAGGCAGGCAAAGGAAGGGCAGCGGGCAGGCCTGGTACAGGTGAGATGGCAAGGCAGGTGCGAGGATGGAGGGGGCCCTCTGTGTTCGGGCACCTGTTACTGGAGTCCCTTCTCCCAACCTCTCTGCGGCAGTCTCCGTGGTGGTGGTGGTGGTGGTGGGGGGGGGCACGTGCCTCTCTGGCAGGTGCAAGGCATTGCAGAGGGAGAGTCAGTGTGAAGTGGTGCCAGGCCGTGCGTGCACGTGGTTGGGGGCACAATGAGTACTGCACCGCAGCTGTGCCTGGGGGGATGTTGACCCCTAACAGGCAGAGAAGTTTGGAGGGGGAGAGTCACGCAGGAGGGAAGGTGACAAGGCCTTTGTGGCTTTGTTGCTTTTGAGATATATCAGAGCAAACCCTGAAGATGCATCTAGAACACTGTTTGGAATGTGCCTAAGTTCAGCTGGGGTCAGAGTTAGGAGCAAGGACTTGGAATCATTTCCACAGGGTGGGAGTGGAGATCCTGGGGATGCTGAGATGTCTGCAGGAAAGAGGAACATTGGTCAGTGAGAGACCACCCAGAGTGCTTGCTTTTATATCAGTTTTATTTGGGGCAGAACAGGTACCTGAATCCCCCACCTTGCACGCCTGGTAGCACAGAGCAGGCAGGGACTGAGTCTTACCCATTGTTCTCAATAATGCTGGTGAGAGGAATGGGTCCTGGAGAAGGGCCTGGGGAACATGCTTTGTAAGGTGAAGTGCTATAGACATTCAGAGTACAAGGTGGTTTTATTATAAAGGGTTCCACGTAGTCCTCGGCCAGTGGTCTCTAGACAATTATTAAGGGAGGTGAAGCAATTTCGAGATCTCTCCATGATGTTTCAGATGACTTTTTCATTTTAAGACGGGGAAAATCATGTAAGGTCTTTCTCCCCAGTTGTCTTCCCTCTATGAAAGCTGCATTTAATAGAGGGCTTTGTCCTTTTCCTTTTCAAGCCTAAAATGTGTGCATTGAACTGGACTGAAATTTGAAAATGTGTTCCCAGGGAGACATACTCGGGGACATGGACCTGAGCCCCCAACTCTAGGAGAACTTCTAAGACTCTGTCTCACCTGTTCTTTGTCCATTCCCATTCAGATTTGGAACTTGGCTTCAAACAAACTCACCTTTTTGAATTCCTATAAAATGAAGATGTCAGTTATCCTGGGAATCGTCCAGATGGTTTTCGGCGTTATTCTCAGCCTGTTCAATCACATGTAAGTGTGCTGTGCCTGTTCTGTCTGGTCACACTCCTGATGAGTGGTGGCAGAGCCACCAGTTGGAACCCACCTTGCTCTGTACAAGTTCCTTTCCTATAGGGAACACTTCCCTGTGGATCTCGGCTTAGGCCAGGAGAGGCTGTTTGGCTGGAAATAGCAGCATCTCTGATTCTCCTGAGCAAAGTCTCAGAAGTGAGTGCAGCTCTCACCTCGGAAATACTCAAGGGTTCAAAAAAGACTAGGAAGCACACAGCCCCCGAAAGGCCTAGGTTGGTGCTGCATTCGGGCTCATCCCCCACCAAATGGGCCGAGAAGGATGAAGCAACTTGGCCAGGATGCCCTCAGCTTCTGGTGCCATTTCTCCTTCCCGGCGGCAGCCTCCCTCTCACTTCTTGGGCTGAGGATGTTTTCCTGTCTGTCCCTTCTCTTCTGTCAAGGTCCGTCACTGGAAAGCATCTTAAACTTACTTTTGCTAAAGGGATAAGTGTTTGAAAACAGCTCCAAATGTGCCCGTTCGCTCGTGCCGTTTGTGGACATGGCTGCTGACCGCAGTTTATGAGTCATGGTTTGGATGTCAAGAAATGGTGCAAGGTTTGGGGTCAGAAGTTTTAGTCTTGGTTTCAACTCCTAGCAGCTATGCGATCATACAATTGTGCTTAACATCTCTGAGATTATTGTTGTAAATAAAATAGGGGCACGTAGTCATCATGGGTTAGTTTGTTGTGTAATAACAAACAGCCTCCTAATTTCAGTGGCTTAGGACCGTGACACACGTCCATCATGGGCTCATCCGAGCTCTGCTCCAGCCACCCTTACACCAGGCCCACGGCTGATGGGCAGTCACCACTTGGAACACTGCTGGCTGCCATAGCAGGGGGCAGGTGGTGAGTTACACATTGACTCTTAAAAACTTCTGCCCAGAACTGCCCCGCCAGTTCTGTCCCCATTTTTTGCCCAGTCACAAGTCGATCTTCAACTTGAAAAGGCAGAGAAGTATAGTTCTACTTGCAATGCCAGGAGTATTTAATGAGCAAACTGACAAGCTCTCCGTAACTCCTGCCTGCATGAAAGTGCTGTGAGAATTAACCGAAAGATAATTCCGGAAAGGGCTTTTGGGATTAGACTGTCAATGGCACCATTCTGTCCCAGGCTGGCCTCAACTGTCTTTAGAGGTCCTGTCTGATCTGGAAATTACCCAGATAACTCTTGCAGCAGACTAGGAGTATGGTGGCACTTCCTAACATTTTCACTTGGAGGGCCCCAGTTTTAGATTTGTGAGACTGTATTCTACACAGGGGTTGGCAAAATGCCTTTGTAAAGGGCCAGAAAGTGTTTCAGGCTTTGCAGGACATACAGCTTCTGTTGCAACGACAACAGTTCCTTGACTTATCATGGGGTTATATACTGATAAATACATGAGTTGAAAAGATCATAAATTGAAAATGCATTTAATACACATAACCTATCACTACCATAGTTTAGCCTAGCCTACCTTGAATGTGCCCAGAACACTTAGCCCATAGTTGGGCCAAACTATCTAACACAAAGCCTATTTATGATACAGTGTTAAATATCTCATGTCCTTTTTTGAACACTGTACTAAAAGTGAAAAACAGAATGGTTATATGGATTCTTCCGTAAAGCTAAAAAACAGTAAGTTGAACCACAGTAAGTCGGGGTGTGCAAACTTCTGGCTTCCCTGCACCACTTGGGAGAAGAGGAGTTGTCTTGGGCCACACGTTAAATACACAAACACTAGTGAACGCTGATGAGCCGAGAAAAAAGGTCTGTGCGTAATTTTCATGATATCTGCCACCACAGATAAGCAAAAAAGTCCTCGCATAACCTGCCTGCAGCCTGTAGGCCACAGTTTGGATACCCCTGCACCCAATTATGGTATTGTAGAGTGAAAATAGCTATAGACAATATGTAACTGAATGACTGTGTTCCAATGAACACTGAAATCTGAATTTATCACTAAATACTATTTTTTGTTTTTTTTAACCTTTTTTTTTTTAGACAGAGCCTCAAGCTATCCCCCTGGGTAGAGTGCTGTGGCATCACAGCTCACAGCAACCTCCACCTCCTGGGCTCAAGTGAGTCTCCTGTCTCAGCCTCCCAAGTAGCTGGGACTGCAGGCGCCTGCCACAATGCCTGGCTATTTTTTGGTTGCAGCCGTCATTGTTGTTTGGCGGGCCTGGACTGGATTCGAACTGCCACCTTAGGTGTATGTGGCTGGCACCTTAGCCACTTGAGCCACAGGCGCCCAGCCTTTACCAACTATTTAAAAATGTAAAAACTATTCTTAATGTCTAGGCTGTACAAAAACAGGTAAGGGATGGGCTTGATTTTGCCTGTGGGCCGTAGTTGGCCTCTGTCTTAGCACATCCTTAGGGAAAAGACTTCAAGTCCCCATTCTCCATCCTTTCCCTGTTAAATGTGTTTGTGTGAGCCGGCTCCACAAGGATGTGTGGCACCACCGCCCCATGTGGGTGAGGCCTTCCCTGAGCCGACACCTGCTAGACATGGCTTCCCTGGGAATCTTTTGTGCAAAAGCACTTTCCGTTATTCCGTTTTCTTCTTTCCTATCCATCCATACATGATTGCTGTTTGCTAGGGGTGCCACTTTTTGCCAGAAGTGCTATTAAAAAAAAAAAGAACATTTTGTCCTTTGAGAGAATAATTAAGTGCTAATGTTCCCTCAGTGTTCTAACTCGTATGTGTGTTTGTTTTCCAACCCCAGATACTTCCGAAAGACTGTCAACATCATCCTGCAGTTTATCCCTGAGATGATCTTTATCCTGTGTCTCTTTGGGTATCTGGTTTTCATGATCATTTTCAAATGGTGCCTCTTTGATGTCCACGGGTCTCGGCACGCCCCCAGCATCCTCATCCACTTCATCAACATGTTTCTGTTCAACTACAATGACTCTTCCAATGCACCCCTGTACGGACACCAGGTATTTCTGTTTTCTATTCTTTCATCCACTTGATCATGTCAAATTTATCTCATACTTTTACAAGTTATTGGTTAACATGTTAAGATGGCTCAGTCTTGCAAACACTTGCAAAAGTGTAAGATAAGGGTGTTATGTCCTTTAAATTTCTTTTTATTATTTTTTTCAGGTTTTTTTTGGTTTTTTTTGTTTTTTTTGGCTGCGGCTGGGTTTGAACCCACCACCTCTAGTATATGGGATTGGTGCCCTAGTCCTTTGAGCCACAGGCGCTGCCCATGTCCTTTAAATTTCAAAAGGTCCTATTTGATGAAAGTAACAAGCACTGAGGGCCCTGGTGCGGCTGCAGCCATCCCTGGGGGAGTAAGACACCACAGAGGTTATTGCTGAGAGGTTGAAAAGTAGCTTGTATGTGGCCGTGAAAAAATAGTACAATTCAGGTCGATTGACTTGAAAGTGTAAAATGCTGTAAAGTTCATAAGAATGTAAATTGGCATAGAATCAAGACGATGAGTCCATCTGTTCACATGGGCAGTACGTTTCTAGAAACCAGGAACCAAACCCATGCTCTTCTCTGTATGTCTGAGGCTAGTGGGAGTAATTTTTTTTCATCCTCTTTATCAACTTAGTATTTAATTTAAAACAAAAGTATGAATGTGCCATTGGAGTTGGACGTAAAAATGGCCCAATAAGAAATTCTTTGATAACACAAATACAGTAGTTTCCCCCGACCTCTCCCAATGGTTAACCTGATGACATTGTTTGAGGGCAGTTTCTTCACTAAAGAGGGCCCATGTCTACAGTACTGACTTCTCTGGATTGAGCTCTGTGGCTGGTTTCCCAGTGCAGGGTGGCTCTTCAGGGTGAAGGCTGTCTGGCCCCGTAAAGTCATGCTTCCCTGCAGCCATGCCTGTTCTCACTAGATGAATTCCTACCCGTGTTCTCCTCCCCTACATAAGTATCAATAATAAAAAGAAAAAAATGCCTTGCCACAGGGCTTTCATGAGGAATGATTTTTGATAGTAATCAGAGAAGAAACGCGCTTCCGAAAGCTCTTTTGGGGTAGGCTGTTACTGTCATGGTGCATGAATGGTAACTGGGAGCCACCCCAGAATGTTGGCCTGTGCGGAGTGTATCTTGAAGCTTCATTTACTCAGTGCTGGAGTCTAAATGCAAGTTTGTTTGTATTTCCGGAACAAGTCTTCTCTTTCAGACAGAGGAGTCAGATTCACCAACTGCTTCATACATTAGCTGCTTCCATAAAGAAAGTCCCTTCGCACATTGCCCTGGCTGTCTCTGAATAGCAAAAAGGACACACACACAGACACACACACACATAGACACACACACAGACACACACAGAGCTGCTGGCTTTGTGCATCCTCAGGGGAAAGCCTTGCTGTATGGACGTGGACACACCGCAGTGAGGCAGCATCGTGTGCAGGGCAAGGATGGGCCAGTTCAGCCCAGGTTCCAGCGATCCCTTCCCTTCCCTTTTTTGGCGTGTAAAAGTGGAACCAGGATGGAAGATTGAGCAGATAAAATGTTCTCACTGTTATCAGGGTAAATCTTGTTACAAATGGGATAATAAATTGCCTCCTGGCATCCTTGGTCACAACAGTTGGAGAGATCAAAGGCTCAGGAAACATTTTTCCTTTTCCGCCGAGCACCCCATTTCCATCTCTGCTTTTCAAAAGCTCTGACTGAGCCTTTTGAGACTTTCTGGTTCTTTTGACAATAGCAACTGTGACTATCTCCTCCAAAGTGGTCACCAGGGAGCATGTCAGTGGGGTGGTCAGGAGGATGTGCAGACACTCTCCCCCAGCATTAGCTGGGGCTTCTCCTGGGTTCTAGCAGGAGCATGGAGGCCGTGTCTCCTGCCAAGGGAGCTGTGACAGAGGCCGGGAAAGGGTTCCAAGTGGTATCACAGAGCTGGTTGGATGGCTCACCTACACTGCAGGGATGAATGCTGGGTGGCAATTTTCTTTCAGAGAGAGAAAGCAAGACAGCTCAGGTAATTATCTACTGTTGGAAATGTGAAATTACTGATTGAATATTTGTGACTTAAAGTGACCCTAGGACTTTTGGGTATGGTCTGACCAGTGATGCCACAGGACCTGCCACAGTTGTCATCCAGAGCCAGGGGCAAACCATCCCCATGGAACAGAATTAATGGCATAAGGGCTGCCTTTATCACGTGTCCTGAGCACTTGTTCAGGAGACTGGTGACATATGGCACAAGTGATAGGGGCTACCTAGAGAGGAAGGGATAAAGGGAATGAGTTTCCAGTGTCCACCCAGTATTAGAGGATGGGTGTCCCTGGACAGACATTTCTCTGTGTGCAACAGGAATATTCTAGATGGAAAGGTGAATGAGTTCATTGAAATATATTAGCTCCCTCAAAATAAAGTGCTACTGAAGTGACCCATATTTATTGTTTTTATCACACACACAAAAAAAATCTCACCTCCTGTGAGGTCACATTAAAATGATGGGATTTTGGTCTTGCAGCAAGAAGTCCAGAGTTTCTTTGTGGTCATGGCTTTGCTTTCGGTCCCGTGGATGCTTCTGATTAAGCCATTTATTCTTAGAGCCAATCATCGGAAATCCCAGGTAAGGGGCATGCATTTTGGGGACCCACTGGGTGGGAATGTGACTACTGGAAAATGGGGACTTCAGAGACAGTGTGGGGCCTCCCCATGCCTGGAGGGCAGTGGGGGGGGGTGTTGCTGAGAAGCTGCCCTGCCCAAGTGCAGAGCACCGGCCCTCTGATTTCCACCAAATGACCGATCAGGGGCAACTTCATGGTTGTTCACGCCTGAAATCCTAGCACTCTGGAAGGCTGAGGTGGGTGGATTGCCTGAGCTCACGAGTTCAAGACCAGCCTGAGTCAGGGTGAGACCTTGTCTCTAAACATAGCTGGGCATTGTGGTGGGCACCTGTAGTCCCAGCTACTTGGGAGGCTGAAGCAAGGGGATCTCTTGAGCTCAGAAGTTTGAGGTTGCTGTGAGCTGTGACTCCATGGCACTCTACCTAGGGTGCGGAGTGAAACTCTGTCTCAAAAAAAAAAAAAAAGATAATAAAAAGGGCAACCGTGTATAAATCGTGTGTCTTTTGGACTTAGCTCAGGGTGTCTACTGGGAGTTAATGATTCATAGATTGTTGTATTAGTTAAGAATAAGAGTGTTCTACTATAGTTTTACTTTTTAAATGGATATTAAAAGCTGTTTTATATTAGTATTCTAAAGTTGTGAGATTTTACTGTATTATGTTACAGATCGTGCCAGGGAATTAGAGTAGTAAATTCAAATAGGTCAGTTTTTATTTTTTTGTGATTTTTTTCTCCCAGTGGCCAAATACCAGTTTCAGTTCACTTCCTCCTTTGTCTAAACTGCCTCTGAGCCTCAGATTTACTTGGGGGGTGAAGGACTTTAATATACCAAGTGGGATTTAGGAAGATTAACCTTCCAGGGGACATCAGGTCTGGTTATGACACACAAATGCTGTTTGAGGTGATCTCACTCTGCTTTTCTCCATTAGTGAAAACCATCAAGTGGAATGTGCCGAGATCACTGGTGTTTTAAATGGTTGTGGATAGGTTCAGATTAAATTCTATTTTTCTCATATCTTGCTGAGTTTTGGCTGAGGAGGCAGTAGCGACCCTCGAGTCGGGAGGGTTGTTCCTCCGGGATGCCCCACTTCCCTATCATCTGCCTCTCCTCTCGCTGTCTCCTTACCGCCGGCCAGTCTTGACTAATTGCAAATCCTGGATGGAATATAATTCAGGTGGGATGGTCATGAAGAGGAAGGCAAAGGCAAGGACACTTACTTGTTTATTGTTTGGTTAATTGGAGAGATGGTGGTTGGGGTGGATACCTGTCCGAACAGGTCACCAGGGTTTCAGAGGAAGGTGGCAAATACTCGTTTGGAAAAGCAAATGCAGTTTTTTTGTTTTTTTTTTTTTTTGGAACTCAACCTGTCCATATGCCAGGGGCTCACTTGAGCCCTGGGACTCTAAAATAAGAGCTTGTCTTGCTCTTGGCATCACACATGCGGCCGCTGATCTTGAAGTGGGGCACTTTTCCTTTCATCCACTGGACGGCAGGGAAGGAAGCGTGAGGGGTTTCTTCATCTGCCATTGCAGATGGCGCCTCTCAATGCACCCTGGGTAGCAGGAGCCCCTGAAGCCTGCTTGCTGGCTGTCTCTGTGGCGCTTAGGTTGCTAGACTGCTGATTAGAGTCCTGATGGTTCTTATTCCTATTAGAAACGTTACCACCTCCCCCAAGAGACGATGACTCCTCCTCCCTAAAGCCCTGCAGACCTAGCAGAGACAGACCCAGAATCTGAGACAGGTCCCTCAGAACATCTGAACAGAGCTCCCATCTATTCAGCCTCTTCCATAACCCAGTTCTGGGGTCCCAGCAGCCCCTCACTAAGGCCACCCGACACATGGCCAGCTCCCTGGGACATCTGGGTTCCACATTTTATTTCTTCTTCTGACTTGCTGCAGGGGACTCAGGTCCCCCACCCTCCCACCTGCTAGGTCATAGTGAAATAACTTTGCATTTCCATTTAAAATCTTTATATTGGTGTATGCATTTCCTATGGTAAACATTATTGAAGCACAATAGAAACACCAAAACTCAGAAGTGATGAGGGCACTGATCAGCGAGGTGTCACACGCAAGAACATTCCTGTCCGAGCAGTCACAGCAAGGCATGGGTCTGCATCTGAACCCACAGTGCCACGGGCCTCCGTCCTGTTGCTCTCTCTCCCCATGGGACCTGTTGTCCTGATGGAAGGACTGTACATGGTAGGTTGTTTTTTTTTGCTATTTTTGAGACAGAGCCTCAAGCTGTTGCCTTGGGTAGAGTGCCATGGCATCACAGCTCACAGCAACCTCCAACTCCTGGGCTCGAGTGAGTCTCCTGCCTCCACCTCCCAAGTAGCTGGGACTACAGGTGTCCACCACAACGCCCGGCTATTTTTTGGTTGCAGCCATCATTGTTGTTTGGCAGACCTGGGCTAGATTCGAACCTGCCAGCTCAGGTGTACATGGGTGGTGCCCTAGCCGCTTAAGCCACAGGCGCCAAGTCGTGATAGGTTGTTTTGAACTTTATGTAAACAGAATCATTCACAGTTGTCTTCTGGAAGATCTGACTTCTTTTATCCAATGTTCTAGTATTAATAATTAAAATACTGATGCTACAAACATATCATGTATCTTTTAGCACATGTGTTTTTATTTTATTTTATTTTATTTTATTTTTTGAGACAGAGTCTCACTTTGTCACCCTTGGTAGAGTGCTATGGCATTATCGCTCACAGCAACCTCAAACTCCTTGGCTCAAGTGATTCTCTTGCCTCAACCTCCTAAGTGGCTGGAACTATAGGTGCCTGCCACAATGCCTGACTATTTTGAGAGATGAGGTCTCATTCTGGCTCAGGCTGGTCTCGAACCTGCAAGCTCAGGCAATCCACCTGCCTTGGCCTCCCAATTGCTGGGATAACAGGCGTGAGCCACCGCGCCCAGCCTATTTTATTATTTATTTTAGAGACAGGGTTTCTTTCTGCCCAGACTAGAGAGCAGTGGCCTGATCATAGCTCATAGCAACATCAAATTTATGAGCTCAAGCAATTCTTCTGCCTCAGCCTCCTGAGTACCTAGGACTACAGGTGTGTAGTTAATTTTTTCACCCAGCTAATTTTTTCTATTTTTTGTAGAGACACAGTATCCCTCTGCTGCCTAGTCTGGACTCAATTACTGACCTCAAGTGATCTTCCTGGAGTGCTGGGGTTACAAGTGTGAGCCACTGCACCTGGCTAGCATAGGTGTTTTTAGAAACTGGCCAGTAGTTAATTCACAATAATTTTATTTCACATGGCAACCAGCTTAAGCACTGTGAGATTTTATTAAAGGGAATGCAATTATATTCTGACTAGAAAGAAGACAGTCAGTAGGACTCACAAAGCTCAGTGTCACATTTCTACAAAATTATTCATTTTTTTTTTTTTTTGTAGAGATAATCTCACTTTATCACCCTCGGTAGAGTGCCATGGCATCACAGCAACCTCCAACTCCTGGGTTTGGGCAATTCTCTTGCCTCAGCCTCCTGAGTAGCTGGGACTATAAGCGCCACCACAACACCCAGCTATCTTTTTGTTGCAATTTGGCTGGCGCTGGGTTTGAACCCACCACCCTCATTATATGGGGCCGGCACCCAACTCACTGAGCCACAGGAGCTGCCCCTATTCATTTTGTTTTAAATGGTTCATTTAAACGAATTCAAGGATAATGAGCAGAAAAGGTTAAGCTTAAGGTTGTAAATGAGGAAGCTATCTTCTATTCTTTCCCCTTTGGTATTTTCTTCTTTAAGTTGAAGGAAAGAAAATAGACTTTCAGGAAGACAAATGTCATGTTAACTTAAGCCACATCCCTCCACAGGGGACAAGGAACCACAGGCCTAGGGGAAGCTCGCCCAGAGTTCCCTCTTAGCACCTGGGACTCTAGAATTCCTGTCTGCATGGGCTTGCACCCATGTTTGGATCCTACGAAGGCCATTCCCTCGGTCTCCTGAGAGCAGACCAAACCTCTGGCATGGGCATCCTTAGGCATTTGTGGGGAATGTGGGTGGAACATAGACGTTGTGGGCAGGGGTGTCACGTGTGTGCACACAAGGCCCTCATGATATGTCCACAGCCAGCTCTGCTGTGTTGCCCAGGCATGGCAGAGAACTCTGAATTTGAACCTGGCCTTCCAAGTTCTTATGAGGATTTTTTTTTCCAAGCTGGGAAGCTAGAACATTTTATTCAGGAGCTTGTTGGCTTGATTTTTAAATATTTCAACACATGGCATGTGGACTTCCATTTTTTACCCTTGCCCAGAGCCCTCCAAATGGTAAGCGTCAACCTGCAAAAGACAGAAAGGTAAAGATATCTTTGTTCCTGATTTACAGCACCCTCTCATGAAATCATTCCAGGAAAAACTCTGGACATGGGACATTAAGCTTCATAGGAACTCGAAAGAATGATTCCATTCAGACTGAGGGGTAAAACCAGGCCAAACTGGATGGTGACTAGACCTAGATTTTTTTCTTTTTGCCTTGATTTTTTTTTGTTAGCTATTTGTGATTTTTGTGATTGAATTGTGATTTTTTTTTTTGCCTTGAATTTTTTTGTACGCTATTTTTACAAAGTGTTGGTTTTTAATTTAAGATAGTACATTTGTGTTGGAAACATCATTAATCTCTCTTAGTTAATTCTGGCCAGAGAAGTGTGGCTGCTTAGGTCACAGGCTGTGTCAAAGGTACAACTGGTGGTTTAGGATCGTGCGTATAACACTGGTATTTTAACAACAGAAAGGCACTTTGGTGAGTGTGTTGCTCTGCTATTGAGACTGTGTGTAATTTGGCACATTCTGGTGCGCTCTGCACGCCCCTGCCTGTGTGTGCTTCCTGGCTCTCCCACAGGCCAGCCCTGCCAGCTGTGTGATCTTGGCCACATTGCTTAACTTCTCTGGGCTGCAGCTTTCTTCTCGGTAAAACAGAGCAATAATTGTGCTTGCATAAATTAGTTGTTACAAAAGTAAAGTGAGATAGTATAAAGCTTAGAACAGTGTCTGGTGTCTAGGTCGTGTTAATTTAGAATCATTGTGACTCCGAGGGCGAGTTCAGTGCTCTCCATTTCCTTGCTTGTTGACAGCCACAGGCAGCCAAGATCCAAGGAGACCCCTCTGAGGACGTTGAAGGTGATGGGTCCAGCACTTCCGGTCGGAGGACTTCTGCAAGTGCCCAGGGGGCTCAGGATGACCATGAGGAAGAGGTACTGGCAACTAGACCACCCGAGGAAGACTTCCCAGTGTGCACAGACTCTAGAAGTGGAATTCCCGCTCCTAGGGCAGGGGCACTCAGCCGTCAAAGTGGGCATGGGCAGGAGAGCTGGGCGGGTCTGGAGGCCCCTGCTGGGCAGCAGTCCTGTCCCTGTGAGTCATGGGAAAGTTCCAAGAAAGACGGAACATCTAAGAGGCTCAGGACAACCCATGTGGGAATATTTTAGTGTTTTAGCCACGTGCTGTCCTATCTGAGCGTCTAGGTGAGTATCAGCCTTAGCCAGTGAAGCGAAGGTCTCACGTGTTACGGAGACCTCCGTGGCTCCACCCACACCCCCCAGAGTCTGCTGCCTTCACAGAGGTCCCTTTGTGAGTTTGTGGGTGTGATCTCTGCCTCTCAGGTACATTTCCTCCCCACCTTCTCTGTGCAGGGCGGTCGCTCACTCTCAGGACTCTCCCACATGGAGGAGGCTGTTTTTATGTGATGATTGAAGTGGGCACAATCCTGCATCCTGGGCTGCAAGTTTTAGCCTAAGCTCTATCCTAATTTGAGAGTAGGGACTGGGATCCCATGAGGACCAGGGGTGCTATAAATTTGTAGTTTAGTGCTTACTACAAAAAAGTTTTCATTTGATTGATTAGAATTACCGAAAAATCTGGATCATGGGAAAATTTCCCAACAAGATTCCAGGTTCAGAGAGTAACCCATGGTGATGGCTGTTGATCACCCCAAGTCTGTCTGACTTGCTGGAATGTTCTAGAATCTGATCCACACATTTTCTGACACATCAATTCCCAGTCCTATCCAGTGCAACCTCCCTTCTCAATTCTCCTGTTCTTTCAGTACATCGGGCACTTTCCACCCGTCCATGAACTGGCTCTTGTGTCTGGGCATCCTTGGCCTCCATTCTCAGGCCCCTTTCTCCTGGTGTGAGGGTGCACGGGTCTGCTGTCTTGAGGCAGGTGTGTGGACACTCTGCTTCCCCTCTCCACACCACGGTGGCCAAGCTCAAGGCAAAGGGCACTGCCCCAGTCCAGACTGCCAAGTCTGCCCAACACTGATTCCTGACATGAGTTGGGGGCCTCCAAGATCACCCTCACTTCAGACCAGCTGACTATAAATAAAGGGGACCCCCTCAGACTCTGCATCAATAATTCATATAATAACTCACAGAGCTCAAGAAAGTACTATGCTTACAATTATAGTTTTTTGTGGTTTTGGGGAACTTTTTTGGTGTCAAAAGGATAAATCAGAAGCAGCCAAAGGCAGAGGTGACGGGGGTAGAATCTGGGACTGGGGAAGTTCCACACTGGAAGCTTGTGTCATTGAGCCATGACACGTGGCTCTTCCAGCATGGATGTGTGGCAGTGTGCACATGGAGTGTTGCCGGCCCAAGATGTTCACCTAAGCTCAGCACCCAGTTTTTTGGGGGGGTTTTGTTAGGTGGCAGAGGATTGGTTGAGTGCAGCTTGGTCCCATCCTGGATGCCAGTCCCAGCTCCCTAAGCACGCACACTGGTGGTTACCACTGTGGCCACCCCCCACATAAACTGTCACATACCCTCCAGGAGTCACCTCATTAGTACCAATTGTCAGGTATGGTTCCAGGGACCCCCATGAACAACAGAGACTCTTTCACTTGAGAAATGGCAAAGGTTTGGAGCCCACCACCCAGGAGCCAGGACAGAGGGTTCCTTCTGCCTCACGCACTCTCTCTGGGCCTAGCCTCTCTGCCTTCTCGCTCTGTCTCCACATCCCTGTCCCTCCAGTTCCGCATAGCTATTCTCATTGCTGAGTCCTTGCTTATCTTTCTCCTGTAACTTTTGACTTGTGCTCCTCCCTGGACGTCTCTCTACCCTGGACATCTTTGTCTGAAGCTGCAATCCCTCCTGCTTCTCATCAGTTTCTCTTTTTCTTATCTTGGGGTGAGAGGCTCCCCAAGGCTGGGAGCTCCCCTTTCTGTGGTCTGTCCCTTGTCGATCTCCTGCAGCTCGGGTCCCAGGTGTCTATTCCAGCACAGACCTTTCTTCTGTGCTCTCATTCCTCTGTGGCTAATTTATGCTGAAAGAGTCCTCCCAGGTGGCCCCTGTCACCTGTCAGTGCCATTCTCCCAGCTGTTCAGGCTCAAGAGCCTCAGGGCCCCATGTGATTCTGGCTGGGGCTGGGCAGGGGACCTTCCCTGTGTTCCCACAGTGCACATTGGGGGTTCGCACTTCCCTAGTGTGGGGCAGGGGCTCTGCCAGCGTGTTCACCCCACGGGGCTGTGAGCTACCTGAGGGGGAGGGACAGTGTCCCCTCCACCCCGCTCCATCAGAGCATGTGCAGGGAGAGTGGACTACGCCATCCTCCTCCTTCCCACATCATTGGGTTCATCACCAAATTGGCTTTTTGTCCCTCATAGGCTCTCTCTTCTCTAACCCACTGCTGCTGAATTAATCTCCCCATCACGTCCTACTCAGTCCCTCGTGGCTCCTCATTCCCTCTGAGCTGTTTTCTGAACTCTGCCTTTAGGTTGCCTTCAGAATCTTCAACGCTGGACCACTGTCTCCTCTTCCCCACCTAAAGGAGCTCCCAGTTCCCGCCAAATAGTTTTCTCCCACACTTGGGTTGATGCATTGCCCAGATGCCTGCGTCTTCCTTACTGGAGCAATCTGCTTCCCCTTCACTCAGAGGCCCCCCGCAATCCCGTCTCCCCTTCCCAGCCCATCTTCTTCTTTGAACTTTTCTCCCCTGAGTGCTGCACACACGCGACCCTGTTTGCGCTGTGAGTTCTCTTTCAGCAAGTCTGTCAATACCGGTTTCCCCTCCTTGGACCCAGTAGTTCTTAATAGCAAAGCCCGAGTCTGACTCATCTCCATATCATGGGTAATACCTTTTGTGCAGAGATTACTTAAATAATATAAAATTTAAAAATTCTCTTTCAGTTCAACTTTGGAGACGTCTTTGTCCACCAGGCCATCCACACTATTGAGTACTGTCTGGGCTGCATCTCCAACACGGCCTCGTACCTGCGGCTCTGGGCGCTCAGCCTGGCTCATGCACGTGAGTACGCCCCTGGGGGGGGGGGCAGTCCGACCTCCCTGGGAAATACAGCAATGGATTTGGAGGTGAAGGCACCTTCTCTGAGTTATCTGTTGTATGTTTGTCAGAAGAATCACTCCTTAGGAAGAGGTGACTTTTGCCTCATATCTTAATGGGTTAAAATAAAGCATGAATATACTGTCTTCTAGTTATTGAGGCCAGAGACCTGAAATCATGGTGTCGTCAGGCCTGTATTCCTTCCGCAGGCTCTGAGGGAGAATCCGTTCTCGGCTGCTCCAGCTTCTAGACGCTGCCTGCATTCTGTGACTCATGGCCCCTCCTTGGGTCATTCCAATCTCTGCTTCTAAAATCTCCTTTTCCCTGACTGTCTCTCCTGCCTTCCTCTCACAGGGGCCCTTGCGATGGCACTGGGTGTGCACAGAGAGCTTGGAAAATCTCCCTCCTTCGATGTTTTAACTTAATCCCATCTGCAAAGCTCCTTTTGCCGGGAAATACAACATATTCACAGGGTCTTAGCATTTGGATGTGGACATCTTTGCAATGGGAGCACATCATTCAGGCCAGCACACCTCCTATAAGGTGCTGACATTTGGGTGAAGGCCTGGATTGTGAGCACTGGTGGGAGCTGAGCGCAGGAAGTGCTCACTGTGGTGGAGAGTGCACAGCGGTCCAGGGGCAGTCAGGCCAGGCTCAGAAATGCAATTTTGATAAAAACCCAAGGCAGGGATCGTGACTCCCCAGCTCACTTTGTAAGCTGTGTCTTGATCTCTGTCTACTCCTCCAGTCTTGTCTCTTGTGAGTTTTCCTCAAGGCCCCACCAGTGCCAGACATGCCCATTTTATGTGCAGTGGCTGCGAGGAATGATGTGCATCTTAGTGGTGTCATATCTTACAGCAACCGCAGACTTTTGGCCTCAGGTGACCCTCTTATCTCACGCGCCCAAGTAGCTGGGACTACAGGCTCCCAACACCACACCCAGTTGGTTTTTCTATTTTTGGTAGAGATGGGGTCTCTACCAAAGAGATGTTTAGGCTGGTCTCCAACTCCTGAGCTCTAGCAATCCACATGTCTTTAGAACTCATCTGAAAGTTGTCCCCGGCCTCCCAGGCTGGAAGGTGCCTTCCCCTGGTTCCGTGGGTGCCCCTAACACCTAACACTGATTATAATTCTGTCTCATCAGCCTGCTCCCTACTGGACTGTGGGTTCCTTAAAGGCAAAGATCCTGATTTTCCCTCTGAATTCCCAGCCCTGGGCATAATGCCTAGGATGGAAGCCAGGCCAAGGTGTGTGCTAAACGGATGGAAACAATAGACATGTTACTGATTCCATCCAATCAGGCTACTGATTGACAGTGGAAACTGGTGCTCAGTATTAGTTGGTCTTCACGGTTTTCTTCCACAAACACACACACACACACACACGCACACACCCATGTGCAGGGGTATGCTCAGATGTGTACACTCAGCTCTGCAAGCTCCTGCAGCACACACACCCACAGCACCTGCACATTTGCTCCTGTGCACGCGTGTGGAGTAGGTTATCCTGGGACTGACACCCGCTCGTTCCCCAAAGTGGATCTCGGTGCTTCATGGGGTCAGTGGTGTTCATGTCCATTAGTCTTCAGCTGCAGCCTCAGTGTAACTTGGAGGACTTAGGTCACAATAGGGCTAAATCTAGATGAGACAGGAGGAGGATTTTGTCACTCTCAGAGCCTAGGCCAGGGTTTGGCGCTGTGTGTTGGTGTGTCTTTGGCCAGCCAGTACACACTGAGGGGATCGTGTGACCCATGGAAACCCATACGGCTCATGGCTGCCTGGCATGGTTCACCCCTTAGGCCATTTGGAAGTTCCTGCTAGGCGTGGTTTCCACGCCATACCAATGCTTGCTTAACGAGCTAGTTTGGGCTGCATGCAGCTCACACCTATAATCCTAGCACTCTGGGAGGCTAAGGTAGGTGGATTGCTTGAGTTCAGGAGTTCAAGACCAGCCTGAGCAAGAGTGAATCCCCATCTCTACTAAAAATAGAATAAAAATACCAGGTGTGGTGGCAGCTGCTTGTGGTCCCAGCTACTTGGGAGACTGAGGCAAAAGGATTGCTTGAGCCCAGGAGTTTGAGGTTGCTGTGAGCTATGATGTCATGGCATCCTACCCAGGGTGACAGAGTGAGACTCTGTCTCAAAAATAAATAAGTTAAATTAATTAAAATACTGACTTAAATTTAATTCCTGTACTACTACTTACCTGTGTAACTTAGGGAGTTTAACCCTTGTGTGCCTGGGCTTTTGTCTGTGGCTCTCTCAGTCGCAGTAACAACTTCGCCCCTGGTTCAGTGGGGCCAGATGAGGGGTAAGCTGTCCCATATGGGAAGGGCCCCATATCACCCCAGCAGGCAGAAGGCACAGAGCCAACATGGGCACTGTATCCCATGTGTCTGCTCTCGTCATGTCCCCATGGCCACCTGCGAGTGACAGGCCTTTATCTCTCTGGGATGGGTCATTGCAATTTTTAGTTGGGGGCCCTCAAGTCTCAAATTTGTCATGTGAGTGTCTCCCTGGAAGGTGCACTTACCAGGCTGTCAGCCGTCATACTGACAGAAGAAACACCCATATGTGCTCTGTGCCAGGTGCACCTGCGCATAAATGAGGCCCTTATTTCACAGCAGGGACAATGAGAGACCTACTGGAGGCATGAGTTGGGGTGGGAACCCAGCTCCAAGTCCAGATTTTTCCTGACACCTTTCCAGGACTTTCCGCCTCTTGGATTTCACTTCTCTCGGGGATAAGTAAGGAAGTAAGACACGGCTCTGAGAGCTCAGAGTGAGAAACGGGGGATATAAGAGGTAGGAGGTGAGTGAGGGGTGCTGGTGCTATAGGAAGAGGGAGGATGAGGCTGTGTTGTGTTTGTCCTTTAACTGCTCTGAGTCTTAGTTTCCTTACCTATAAAATGGGCACATATCATAAACCTAATTTATGGGTTGTTACAGGATTAGCGAGCTAGTATGCGTGAACAGCTTTGTATTCTTTTCGTCTTGACTCTTAATCTAGATTCTGCAGGTGACTTCAGGCAGTCTGTAAATCCCCTGGCACAATGTACAAAATGTCAGGTGTCTATGTGTATATTTGTCTGGGGAAAAGATTCATGGCTTTCTTCAGATGTCAAAGGGACCTGTGATCACCAAAGAGTGAAAAGATCCACTTTGAAGACGAGATTGAATCCTCCTTGTGCTCTCAGAACCCAGCACGTGCCTTGCATGTCACAGGACTGAAGATAAATACTTGCCAAAACTTTTTCTGAAATACAGTTAGGACCTGAATCTTTTAACAAACATTTTTAAATGTGAAATACAGCATATTTACAAAAATGCATAAAACTTATATACAATCTGATGGATTTTTTGTGTTTTGCAAAACAAACACTTATATAAGCAACTGTTGGTCAAGAAATAAAACAAAGCCAGATGCCCCCAAGGGCCCTTCCCCATCCCAACTTTCTTCTCGTCCCCTTGAAGTAAGGGGCTTTTACGAAAATGCTGTCTGTGCTTTTTAACGTAGTTTGTCCCTTGGCAATTTAGTGTAGTTCTGCGTGTTTTTGAATTTATATGAGTAAAATCACGTCTTCTGCCGTAACAAACACCATATAGAGGGTGACCGCCCCAAACTTAACTACTACTGGCCTAGTATTGACCAGAAGCCTTACTGATAACATGGTCAGTTAAGACATCTTGTGTGCTATATATATTATATGCTGTGTTCTTACAATGAAGAAAGCAAGAGAAAAGCAAATGTTATTAAAATAGTCATAAGGAAGAGAAATGTATTTATGATTCATTGAGTGAAATGGATCATTATAAAGGCTTTTATCTTCTTGCCTTCATGCTGAGTAGGCTGGGGAAGAGGAGGAGGAAGGGGTTGGCCTTGCTATATCAGGAGTAGCACAAGTGGAAGAAAATCCACGTATAAGTGAACCTGCGGCGTCCAAACTCACGCTGTTCAAGGGTCAAGTGCATATGGATTCTTTTGTGTTTTGCTTTTTTGGTATAGCTTATTTACTCGGATTCATTCATTTTGCTGCCAATAGCTATAGTTTGCTTACTTGCATTGGTGATTAACATGCTGCTACGTATTTGTCTGGCTTCTTCTTAATGGAAATTTCACCCCACCACTACATTGGAGGTGTACAGATTCACGGAAGTAGTATGAACACAATTCTGCACTTACAAGATAAGCCCCGGGTTTGAGAGTGTCCCTCTTGTCTCTTGCAGAACTGTCTGAAGTTCTCTGGACCATGGTGATGAACATTGGTCTTCGCATGCAAGGCTGGGGAGGCATCATTGGGGTTTTCATAATTTTTGCCGTGTTTGCTACCCTGACAGTGGCCATCCTCCTGATCATGGAGGGCCTCTCTGCTTTCCTGCATGCCCTGCGACTGCACTGGTAAGGATGGATGGTTGTCCTGTAGAAGCTTAGGGCGGTGTGGGTAAGGCAGATGGGCTGGAGGGCCAGCCAACTGGGCTCGCATCCTGACCTCTGTGTGACATTACAACTACACACCTTTTTGGGACCTTAGTTTGTTCATCCGTTGGTCACAGTATTGATGATATAATATATGCATCCATATATAATTAAGTATGTCAGTTCTCATTTACTCCTCCTTTTTGGATGTTAAATGTTCATTTGTTATTATAATAGGCTTTAACATAAGTAAGACCTGCAGGTATTAGTGAGGTGGCAGATTGAAACGGGCTCCTGGAGGCACACCCAGCACGTCTGGAATGTTGGCTCCTGTCATTGAGTACAGGTGTTAGAACAACAAACGACTAAATTCTCAAAAGTGGACACAGAAGGAGGTTGCCTTGAGGAGAAAGGTGCTCACGGGAAGCCCTGGACATCCATGCGTGTGTCCAGAGACTGTTGGCCGTCACTAGGTCGATGAATATGAAAATATTTGCTTAGGCCTCTGGTTCTCTCCCAAGTTACACTTTAGCCAAGCATTCTGAGTGTGCTGTGGATGCCCTTAAACCACCCGGACTGTCCTCAGCTATCCCTCCTGTTTGCCACCTCCCTCTAGGGCCACTATTTATTTATTTATATTTTTGAGACAGTGTCACTATGTCACCCTTGGTAGAGTGCTATGGCGCCACAGCTCACAGCAACCTCAAACTCTTGGGCTCAAGTGAATCTCTTGCTTTAGGCTCCCAAGTAGCTGGGACTACAGGCGCCCGCTACAATGCCCGGCTGTTATGGTATTGTTGTTGTAGTTGTCATTGTTGTTTAGTAGGCCCTGGCTGGGTTCAAACCCGCCAGCCCCAGTGTGTGTGGCTGGTACCATAACCACTGAGCTACAGGTGCTGGGCCTGTGGCCACTATGTAGAGGGAAATGTTTTTCCACTTTATATATTGAGTGGAGGGAGCCACAGCCCCCGCCCCCCCGCCTCCACAATGACAGCATTTTCCTCTGCGTCATTAAGGATGTGACAAGAAAGCTAATACAAGGAAATAAAATGTAAATGATCATACATGACATCAGTTGTGTAAGTTACAAAAATGTACATGAAGGTTCTGTTTGTTCTGCTTCCAAATTTAGACTCAGGATGGAAACGGAAACCCCATCAGCTAGTGCTGTGCCATGACCCCGTCTCTGATGGGGCAGAAAGGCCTGGAGGAAGGGAGGGACAAGGAAAGGAAGGTTGGTAAGAGGAGGGGCAAGAGAAGGTTTTAAAAATCATGGGTGCAATGGCTCCTGCCGGGAACCTTATCACTCTGGGAGGCTGAGATGGGAGGATACCTTGAGCTCAGGAGTCTGGAGACCAGCCTGAGCAAGAGTGAGACCTTGTCTCTACCAAAAAGAGAAAAATTAGCTGGGTGAGATAGTGCCTGTTGTCCCAGCTACTCATAAGACTGAGGCAGGAGGACCATTTGGACCCAGGAGCTTAAGGTTGCTGTGAGATATGATGACAAGCCCAAGTGACAGAGCAAGACCCTGTCTCAAAAAAAAAAAAAAAAAAAAAGAATCCCCCGACTCCCATGGCAGCCACTGGCCCGGGTGCCTTCCCTGGCAGGCCTTTCAGATCCTCTACTCGACTTTACAAATGTCTTGCTTCTTTCCTTGACCTGCCAGCCTCTGACTTATGTGTTTAATCCTCCTTTTGCCTACCTTCCTGCCCCCAACAACAGGGTGGAGTTCCAGAACAAGTTCTATGTGGGGGCTGGCTACAAGTTTGCTCCGTTTTCCTTCAAACACATCCTGGATGGCACCGCTGAGGAGTAGGCTGCGGGCCAGGCCCCCTGCAGAGGTCTCCCGGCCAGTAAAAGAAGCTGAAGGGTCTTGTCCTTCATGTCAGTGGTGCCAGGCACTCAAGGGAGGATTGTTGTTGGCTACGACCCAGTGTAAAGCTCTGCGTTATTAGGTTATGAGCCTGGGGACGTGATGTGATGTAACCACCTCACAGAGGAACTGCTTGGCAAGTTGTTTGGACTTCATGTGGGGTCTCAGTTCCCAAATAATAAAATGATTGAGAAATGAGGGGGAAGTGCTAAACTGATGTCTTTTCGCAATATTTTAAGCATTATTAACAAGAAAATAAACATCTGAGTCATTCACTTTTTCTTTGAGATGCCTCTATTCAGAATAATTCTATCATGTTTAGTGTTGACAGTTACAGGCCGAAGCTGAGCGACAGCATTAAACAAATTACCCTGAAAAGGATCACGTTTCTTTAATCCCCTCGCTTCCTCTTGGTCAAACACCTTTTTCCTTTGTCTAATGGCTAAGCATTATAAGCTTAGGAACTTTCTCATGAAGTTTTCACTCCATATGAAAAGAATGTTGTCTGTTGGGAGGGAGGGCCGCTCTCTGCATTGCTAAGTCCTGGGAAATGAAGTGTGACAACTTTGTTCCATGTTGGCACACAGCATGCTGGCATAACTGGGGAGTGGCGAGGGGGCTTGGGCAGGGCCTGGTGCATTATACTCTGAGCCCATGGGTTTCAAAGTGGGGGCTCGGGCAGGGCCTGGTGCATTATACTCTGAGCCCATGGGTTTCAAAGTGGGGGCTTGGGCAGGGCCTGATGCATTATACTCTGAGTCCATGGGCTCCAAAGTGGGGGCTTGGGCAGGGCCTGGTGCATTATCCTCTGAGTCCATGGGTTCCAAAGTCATTATTTTCTTTCTTTCTTTCATTTTCAAATGGCATAGACCAAATAAGAATTTTTTTTTTTTTTTTTTGAGACAAGCTGACACTCTTGCCCATGCTGGAGTATAGTGTGGTGGTGTGATCATAGTTCACTATGACCTCTAATTCTTGGGCTTAAATGATCCTCCTGCCTCAGCCTCCTTAGTAGCTGGGACCACAGCTGTGTACCACCATAGCCAGCTAAATTTTTTATATTTTGTAGAGATGAAATCTTACTGTGTTGCCCAGGCTAGTCTTGAACTCCTGGACTCAAGTGATCTTCCTGCCTTAGTTTTCCAAAGTGCCAGGATTATAGGTGTGAGTCACTGTGCCTGGCCCCAAAAGTCATTTCTTAGGGTAGCTAGACTGACAAATTCCTAAGAGCCCATAAGCTTCTTTCCATTGACCCCTTTGTCTGAACGGCCTTGGTCTAGGTGAGTTATGATCTCCATGGTAAGTATACTGGTAGAATTAAGTATAATTTACATTTTTTTAGTGCTTTGCAACTCTTAGGGCACTTTCACACAGCATCTTATTTACTTCTAAATTCTCATTGTTAGTAAATAAAGTTTCAAAAGAGGTGATCAATTTAAAAATTATCTTTTGGATGGGAATCTTTGTCTTTTAAGCCTCTACCTGCCCTCCACGTGGTAGAGTTGACAGGGACCTTGGAAGTGGCCTTGCTAGTCTAAAGGACACTTCCATGTCAATACTTATATGGGGTTCAGCAATTAAGCAAAGGCATTTATGTTTGTGTTCTGTCCACATAATTTGTCACGTAGGTCCTTGGGCAAGAAGCAGGGTTGTTTTCCTCAGTGCCAACTGGGGATAATGATCTCCATGTATTTGGCTTGTAGAAAGAATTGGAAAGTCCTGGGCAAGGGGGCAGATGGTCAGTCAATGATGGCTGAGTGGGAAGAAAAGACTAAAGCAGTGTGTAAACAGTGGCATAAGAAGTCTATGTGGAGGCCAGGTGCAGTGGCTCAGGTCTATAATCCTAGCACTTTGGGAGGCTGAGGCAGGTGGATTGCCTGAGCTCAGGAGTTCAAACCAGGCTGAGCTAGAGTGAGTCCCTATCTCTGAAAATAGCCAGGTATTGTTGGTAGCCCACGCCTGTAGTCCCAGCTATTTGAGAGGTTGAGGCAAGAGGATCACTTGAACCCAAGAGTTTGAGGTTACTGTGAGCTATGATGCCATAGCACTCTACCCCACATGTCAAAGAGAGACTCTGTCTCAAAAAACAAAAAATGTGCATATGTCCTCATGCTGCCGTGATAACTGGACAAGTTTTTAGGTTGTCAGCTCACCACTGTCCTCAATAGCTAGCTATTTTTTTTTTTCTGAGACAGAGTCTCACTGTGTTGCCCTTGGTAGAGTGCCGTGGTGTCATAGCTCACAGCAACCTCAAACTCTTGGGCTTAAGTGATTCTCTTGCCTCAGCCTCCCAAGTAGCTGGGAGTACAACACCTGGCTATTTTCGTTGTTGTTGTTTGTAGCTGTCATTGTTGGTTAGTAGGCCTGGGCCGGGCTTGAAACCCCCAGCCCTAGTATATGTGGCTGGCACCATAACCATTGACCTACAAGTGCTGAACCAACAATAAAAAATACAGGCTCGGCACCTGTAGCTCAGTGGCTAGGGTGCCCACCACATACACCTGAGCTGGCAGGTTCAAATCCAGCCCTAGTCTGCCAAACAACAATGACAACTACAACCAAAAAATAGCAGAGCGTTCTGGCGGGTGCCTATAGTCCCAGCTACTTGGAAGGCTGAGGCCACAGAATTGCTTAAGCCTAAGAGTTTGAGTTTGCTATGAGCTGTGATGCCACAGCACTTTACCCAGGGTGACACAGTGAAACTGTCTCAAAAAAAAGGCCAGCACTTGTGCCTCAGTAAGTAGGGTGCTGGCCCCATATACCAAGGGTGGTGGGTTCAAATCTGGCCCTGACCAAACTGTAACAAAAAATAGTTGGGTGTTGTGGCGGGCACCTGTAGTCCCAGCTATTCAGGAGGCTGAGGCAAGAGAATTGCCTAAGCCCAAGAGCTGGAGGTTGCTGTGAGCTGTGACGCCATGGCCCTCAACTGAGGGTGACAAAGTGAGACTCTGTCTCAAAAAAAAATATATATATATATATGTATATATGTATGTGTGTGTGTGTGTGTGTGTTTAGATGGATCACCAGCCTCTTGCCCTTTAATTCTCCCAGCAATGGCTGTGAGAAAATATTTGTGAGAGCGAAACTTTGCTTTGCCCCTTGCCTAGACCTACTCTTTCAGAAATAACCCCCAGCCTTCCTGAGAATAACATCTTAATCTCCTGCAAGATTTGGCAGCAGCCACTTTCTGTCTCAAGGAGAAGTGTAATTTCCCCTTTGAAAAGGAATCAGGTGCAGGTTGCAGCCAAGGGGCCGTGCCTTACGTGTCACTCACTTGCCCAGCATGCAAGTTGTTCCTTAAAGAATCCTGGTGCCAGCTGACCGAGGAGGAGCAGACCAAGGGGCTGGCTTCTTGGGAAGGCAAGTCCAGAAACCCCCGAGAGGCCATCGGTGGTCCAACTTCCATGTAAGACGTGACCAGGGTGAGAGGTGCAAAAGGGCTTGGAACTGAAAGTCTTTCCAAGGAACATACAGAGGTAAGAAACTCTTGTGGGCAACACAGATCTGGATAACTTTTCCTGCTGCTGTTGGGGGTGGAGGGTGGGTGGGAGTGAGGAGTTGACTGTTAGTGTGTGGCTAACAGCAAATGGAACATGAAAGCCTCATTCTTTTTATTGATGATATTGCAAAACAAATTACGTCATCCACCACACATAAAATTCTGTTTAAAAAATATGTACTGTGGCCCAGTGATTTCTGGCTAAAAATAAAACCAGTATAGCAAAATACAATAAAATAAAATGTCAATCAGTCCTTTAGAATGAAGGTTAACCCCCCTCTGAGCCTTTGAGTTTTAGAGTAAATCCCTAATCTACCAGTTTCTTATCAGGTTTTTTGAAGGTAAGTTGTAAGTTACTTTCCTATTGTAGTTTTTTAGAAACTGATGGTGAGGGATGGGCTGTATTCTCCCCCGTGTTATTCTCTATTTTCCTGCCTTGGTTTGACTGATCATCTATCCATCCATCCATCCATCCTCTTCCTAGGTTAGGAAGGATTTGGAGTGACTTAGGCAACCAAAGAACAGAAGATGTCAACTCAGCCTTTCCATTATTCTGTTTGAGAGTTAAAATCATAGGCTTTGTCTCTCAGTAATGTTCCTTATGTCCATGCTTGAAACATTTTGTCTTTTTTTTTTTTTTAAGTAGAGGGATCTCACTCTATAGTCCAGGCTGGAGTGCCGTGGCTCAATAATAGCTCACTGCAGCCCTGAACTGCTGGGCTCAAGTGATCCTCCTGTCTCAGCCTTCTTAGTCCCTGTGACTGCAGGTAAAAAAAAAAAAAAAAAATTGTAGGAATGGGGTCTTACTATGTTGCCCAGGCTAGTCTCAAACTTTTAGGCCTTAGACCATCCTCCCACCTCAGCCTCCCTAGTTGCTGGGATTACAGGCCCATCTCTGTCCTCCTTTTTATGAAACTCTAGAGAAAGAGAAAATACTTAAGAAAATACTTTTGTATATGCTAGCTAACTTTGAGTTAGTGTCTGAACATCTTCTGAATGCTAAAATTCTGATCAGGCTCTGTCTCTCAGTAATGTTCAAAAAAAAGAAAAAAACAGTGTGTTTTCACTAAAATTCTGATCATCTCCTATCAACACCACTGCCCAGACCTCATGCCCTACCAAAAGAATCTTGTTAAAAACTAGGGCAGACAGCCCTTGGGAGGGTTTGGCAGGTGGATTGCCTGAACTCATGAATTTGAGAACAGCCTGAGCAAGAGCAAGACCTCATCTCTAAAAAATAGCCAGGTGTTGTAGTGAGCTCCTGTAGTTCTAGCTTCTTGGGAGGCTGAGGCAAGAGGACTGCTTGAACCCAAGATTTTGAGGTTGCTATGAGCCAAGATTCCACAGAACTCTACTGAGGGTGACCAACTGAGACTGTCTCAAAAAAAAAAAAAGAAAAAAACAATTAGGGCAGGATCTATCCTAATAGGGCAGGAATGAGAAC